AGAAGTATTGTGATGAACTCATACAAGAATTTGAGTATCAACACTCTGCAAAGCCCAAATAAATGTGACGTGATTGACTGTCTGCCTCTGGTTCATCGCAGGGGGGTTTAAAATACAAAAACAATGAAAAAGTTGATAACACTAAGAAACTGCATCCTCCTAAACTGAAAGCAATGCAAGCAGGCACCTAGAGCCTGAACATCTGTTTGGTTTCTTGTCACTAAGAAATTAGAAAATGTTGCTGATTCTAAGTTTGTTTCAGACTCCAAATGTAATTTATTGCTTTTAATTTGTCTCGCTTCGTGTCATCATCAGTCTCTTCTGTATATGCTTTACACAGCAGTCCTTGCTAACCAGAGCAAGATATACCACTCTTCAGTGGCCACTTAATGAACCGGTGAAGACAAAAGAGGGGGGGAGGCATGAACTCACAGAGGTTAGAGTAAAGATCGAACCATGAATGACATTTCGGTGATATTAAAAAGACATCATCCTAACTGAGGTTAAGTATGCCTCATAAACTTTTATCCATTTGTAGTTGCCATGACTTAAAAGGGCAAATTTTCACCAGACACACACAAATGTAGTTTTTTATTTGCGTGTGTGTGTGTGTGTGTTAAATTGATTATTATAAATACTTTAAAGTTTGCCATTTCGGAAAGACACACACACAGCATTTTAAAAACAGAGAATATTGGAATTTGTAATTTTGTCTTCAAAAATTGGTCTTGTCTGAACGCATCACAATGTTAAGTTGATTCTAAAAACAGAACCATACAGTTTCCTACACACCCAAAGATCCTCTTTTTGTTGCTGCAAGTGCTGATGCTGATAGTTTACCTATTGCATTTATAAATAGATCGATGAACTATGTATCTATGCCCAGCATGTTTGGATATAGCTGATTATACTTACAATACATAACAGTGAAACATGAGGGTAAAGCTGTCTCCTACAGAGATTAAAAGTAAAACATATGCTTAGATTACTTTGCTCTTCTTGGTCTGAAAACAGTTTATAAATCTGTGAAGACTCTTTGGACTATTTATAAAGATCTTTTTTACTTGGCTAGTCTGTTACGTGTTCAGCACACATAACCTACCACCAAGTACACCTACAGTATTATTTCAAATTCCTATTAATTAAATTCCATTGTGTCACCTTTTTCAGTTTATAAATTTACTTCTTGTTTATAATGTTTAAAGTTGGTGTAATTAATATACTTTCTTAGATTTTTACCTCAGTATGCATTTCTATGAGTATGTTTTGTTTTTAAATGAGCTGGCACAGAGCTTAAAAAATGGAGGACCTCGCCTATGCCGCCAGGCCAACAATTCCCTTTAACAACCCCCCTTTCAGACACTTAGACAAGTATGGGGCATTGCAGGCTAACAAAAGAAGCCAAACAACCCCTATTCCAAAGGGGTGGACCCTTTTGTCTGTTTAATTTGCATATTTTCAAAACAAGGCTTTGTTTGGCTACTGTTTAAAACCTCAAACTCGACGCTACTCATTTTTAATTGAAAAAGCTGGACTTGGTTTCCAAGATTTGAAGACGTTTTGCCACCTCTCCAGGAAGCTTTCTCAATTCAAATGATTGAATCAATTGATCAATTGATAGCAGATTATCAGGCTTTGCTGAACTGCAATCATCTGAATCGGGTGTGCTGAAGCTCAGAAACATCCAAAACATGCTGAGCAGTGTGCCTTGAGGACCAGGGCTGAAAAACACTGACCTAGAGCACAATAGCCTTACCATGGAAACCATAGTGAAACAAGTGAAAGTATCATGCTGTTACAGAGGAGATGAACAGAGTTAATAAGATGATAAACATAGCAGTAATTGAAGTGGGATCAATAGAAATACACGACACACTTTAGAAAATATTTTAGGTATCATTAAAAGGCTGCTGATGCACTAGGTTTTATTTCTGGGAATGAGTGAAGGGGACCTGATAGGAATAGTGTACATTACTGAATTTATAGAAATATTTATGTCATAGTATCTCTTGTTTGGTCACTAATTTGCAAACATAAAACAGCTAGAAATTCATATGGATATATACACACTGAAGAACAACAGCATAACGTATTGCAATTCACATTTCTGATGTTATTCTCTGTTCATTTATGTGTATTTACTTTTTTTTTATCTGTCTGTGTTGGTGTGAGGCTGACTGATGCATCACCCAAAGGCTTTTGTCTCAGCACATCAGTAGATGATTGGCTCCCCATGGTGCGTCTTTGATTATTCAGCTAACAGGCCTCTGCAGCAAGTTTATGCAAACGTCTCTGTAAGGCACTTGCCGTCTTCCTTCCCCCTCATGCGCTCTTTTAAAACCCATCCCTCCGTCTCTTCTTCCTCTCCTTCACTAGTTCGTTTCCTACATCTGTCACTTGTCTCTTTTCTCCCACCCTGCTGCACTGGCTCCCAAGTTTAACAAGCTGCCGGGGGACTTAAATGCAAGTACACCCAGAAATTTGTTCAAGGGATCTAAACAAGGGATGACTCATCCCCAGATGGCTCTATTTCCATCTCTCTAGATCTGATTGTTTTTCTTTACCCACTGCCTTTGAGATCTCTATCAAGCTAGCCAGCATTTCCCCCCACATTTCTATAAGAGCATAATAAAAGACAACAAGCCAAGTTTTAGTTCTTCCCTTTTATACCCTTCCATACGTTTTCCTGTGGTCTGATTTTTGCAGTTTCCTAAGTGATGCATCAGAATGTAATTATTTCCTAATAAGAAATAATGCCTCTTTTATTGTGTTTATAGGTTAGGCATAGATCTACCTTTACCTGTATCTTTAGAAGATAGTTAATGACTGTATTTTACTAAGACCAAATTTGAAACCAGAATCTCAAATTCTTGTAAATTGTTAATTGTCATTGTTACTGCATCACTTCTTTGGTACCTTTTGTTGCTATTACATCTGGAAGCCTGCCTTTCACATTTTAGAGACCTGGTTTTCTCAATTTTTCCTTGGTAATTAGATTTAGGTTTGCAGTTTCACTAGACCATAATAAGACAACATATGCTCTGATCTAAGCCGATCATTCTAACTTCGACTGCATTTTTACTAAACTTACGGACAAATTTATAAAGCCAAAAAAAAATCTTAAACACTTTTTTTTTCCTAACTTGCCCTGAGCTTTTCCCAAGGATCCTCCTGCATTCATTTCCATCCATATTTCCATGAACTCGTTTTCAGCATGTCTAAAAGAAGAACCTACATCAGCATCATTCTGTCGCCACTGTGCATTATGTTTTTACAAGGCCTTCGTAAAAATTTAAACTTTTCTTTTATTGCTGTTTTTTATTGAACTGTGTTTTTAACACTTTTCAGTAAAAGCCATATTTCTGGGATGCACACTTATTCATCCTAATGGACTGTGGGCATATGAGAGTCTTTTAGATTATAAGTACACACTTTAGGCAGATTCTGTTTAAGCAGATTCAGTAAACTTTCTGAATTGCTACCAACAGGCAATCAAACTGAATGTCCCTGAAAACAAAGAAAACAAGTAAGTTGAAGCAAAGTATAGGGAAATAATTTATGCCCACTGTGATTTCTGCCAAGGTGGAGGTATGTGCTGCTGTTAACGAGGACTTTGCTGCCCTGGCAACAGGCATCATCCTCTCTAGCAGTGTTTGGTTTGTCACCAAGGTTTCAGCCTTCACAGACTATCTCAGATCACTCTTTTGGGATTTTTTTTTTATCAATGATCTAATTTTTTTTCTGTGTACCCCACCTGGCCCCCCTCTTTTCATGTCTTTTCATTTGCTTTCTGAAATGTTGCTCTGGTTACTGATTTTTTTTTTTTCTGCCAACAATTTGCTTCACAATTTTTTTGCACCTAATGGCAGTTATTGACTTTAAAGTAGTTAGATAAAAAAAATACTTTGTCAAGGTTTTGTATCCAAGGCTAAAGTTTTTTTTTATTTTAGGTACCTTAACACCGAATCATTACTCTTTCTTTAGGGAATGCATTGTTGCATACTGTAAAAACACCACAACTGGATGCATTGCAGAGAATTAAGTTGCCATACGTGTTATTGCTTCATAATGTGTGCAGAATTACATCTATAGGGGTTTACGTGCTTTGTTTGTGCATCTAAAATCAACAGATGCTCCTCAGAAACACATTTCTATCACTGTATGTGTGGTTTCCACATATAAAATTTGTTGCATCTTTTACGTCACAAAGTATACTAAAAATTATTATAGGCTCAGGCATGGTTCAAATCTTTAAAAAGGCTCTATTATTGCTAAAAGCTTTTTTAGGTGTCCCCACAGGGATATATCCAGATAAGAAGCAGAGGTAATGCTTCTGTTTATGCCAGGATAATATATTGGTAAAACCATTGTTGAATAAAAAAATCTTGATTAATGAAGATTTGAGGCACTCACTGCATCTTTTCCAGATCATCAAACTGTTCAAAAGAAAAGGTGGCTATTCTTTAACAATAGATCACATAAAGAGGGTGCTTTAGAGTTGCTCCTTGTGAGAAACCTACTGAGGATTACTGTCAGATCGTAGTTTCCCTGAGCTCCACAGAGCGTACTACACCGCTCAGCTCATTGCTTCTTGCGTCTGGTCTTCGGCTTTACTGTGTCTCTCTTAAACTCTCTGCAGGCTCATTATCACACTCATCAACTTTGTTTCCATACTCGGTTATATTTGCACGAAGTGGTGAAAAAATACCCCCATAATTTCAGTTCATAGTAAAAAAAACTGTATTTCAGAATGGTAACTAAGAAAATAGATTTCTAATCGTTCGCTTTTACAGTGGAATCTTTAAAGCATGAACCACTGATATAAGGAGAGGAAACTCAAAAATGGTGCTTTTATTCCTTTGAGTGACTAGCATGTCTGTTCCACTTTGGCCAGAAATTCTATATCATAAGCAGAATATTTAAATAAGCTTTGAATTCTTGAACACTGACTGTCTGTTTGGAATTCTTTAAGTTCCTTAATGCTTTTATTTTCTCTGCAGGACTTCCTTACAGATCTGATGATGTCTGAGGTGGACCGCTGTGGGGAGAATGAGCACCTCATCTTCAGGGAAAACACTCTCGCCACAAAGGCCATTGAGGAGTACTTGAAGCTGGTTGGTCAGAAGTACCTGCAGGATGCCCTCGGTGAGTAATCATGAAGTCACGAAGAGACCAGGCACACAGAAGGATCAAAGAAAAGATAAAAACTGATGTGGATTCTTCTGTATTTCATTGCTTAAAGTAGGAAATACAGTATTTAATACAAGCTGGAAATTTGCATTTTCTAACACTAACTTACCCTTAGTTATAGGTGTGTTCATGCATAGTTGTTTGTTTGTTAATGTTACCCTGTCAGTTCAGTAATATAGAAATGTGTAGAAAAAGAAAGATAGATGATTCAGTGAGGAAGATTTCCAACATAAATAAATATTATTTTTTCCATACAATCATATTTGCAACTCTAATTGTTGGTGAAAAGGTCAGCACTTTTTTTTAATATACATTTTGCAAGGTTGGAGTACCCAGAGCAAGGGATCCTTCGCAATTCCCCTTTATACAGTCTTTTTTTATAAACTGTCACGCTCTCTTTTCGATGCGTTTCAGTCTGGGGTCTGAGATCCCAATCTATGTTCTGTTTAGGGAACAATTTCTTAGGGAACGCTCTACAAAAGCTTTTCTAGTTTTAGTAATCCTCCTTAAAGACCAACTGAATACCCATTTCTTAATTTGTTTGCCAAGTTCTTTGCTTTGTTTAAGTGAACTGCCATGTTTTCCAATACATTATAAGGTTTAAAGTTAGTCCCACATGTACCCTGACAAGGCTCTTTAAAAAAAAAAAAAAACAGACCACCAGCATCACAAATCCTCCTACATGTTAAACAGTGGAGATGAGCTGCAACATTATATATCTTGTTTTAAAAAAAAACATGAGGTTTCAACAAAACTATTTCCTGTTTTGCTAAATGAAGGTTGCATTAGTCAAGAATAGGTTTGCTGCAACAACCTTTGGTGACTTTTCACGTACATACATTTACAGACTGTAAATGTATCAATTGCTTAAAGCAAACAGCCAAGATAACACAGCAGTAGCTGGAGGAGCAAAGGTTCAGTGTACAGAAGTGGGGCAGCCAGAGCCTAGACGATTGCTGTCTACTGGCCCCTGAAAACAGCTGATCCAAATTAAACATGCCCCTAAAAAGTTGAGAACTATCGCTAATAAATATGATCCAATTCCACAGAGATGTTTCACATTTAGGTAATTATTATGTTTACACTGTTTTTAAACAATGGAAAATGTGTAACTTCCTTTTTTTAACTTTGTCAAAAAATAGGCTACATACAAATAGTTTATTCAAATTAGACTAAATTCTTATGAAATGTCAGAAAAAAACTGAAGGGGCGTGAATGCTTCATGTTGAGCACAACACTGAGGAAGACTACTGTTCTCTTCTGAGCAGAAGAGCTTCATTTTGTACAAACTCATCTTCCCATTAAGCACAATTTGTCCATCTGCAGCTCTAAAAATAAGGACTTTGCAATTTGCAATCTTCTGTCTGCTTAATTTAGAGAAGTACACAGTAGAAGTTTAATCTACAAATAGTAGACACATCTTCTTTGTATGCTGCTGGTGTCAATGCTCCTTGTGTGTGTTTCTGTTTCACTGTGCAGCAAGAAAGTTGCTCTGTTTACCTTCTAGCCTGTCTCAAGGTTGATTCAGATAAAAGTGCTCAATTAAACTGCAATGTTTTGTTGTTTGTCGCATCAATAAACCGTTGAAATTGGACCCAAGAATTGGTAAAAGAGGGAGACGGAGGGCAGTCCTATTCCCTTTTCAGAAATTCTGATTTTAAGCCACTGCCAAACAAAAGAGTTATTCCATTTTAGGACTGACTAAGGCCCATCTCATACTGGATTAAGACCATAACGCTGCATCAAAGATATCCAACTCTCTGACTGAATACCTCACATTATACATTGTGGAGTACAAGAGGTCAAATGCCATTTTTGCAGCACAGCTAAATGTGTGAAGAGTGGATCGGTCATGAGCAGGTATACATCGACTTCATGCCATGGCTGAAAATACCTTGTGCTTGTCAGCACTAACAGTTATCTATCAAGATGGTCTTGGTGTCAAAGCTGCCTTTTCATTAGACAGACATTGTAGGCTGCAGTTGAAATGCAAATGTACCTGTCACTGTTAAGAAACGTCCTATCATAGGGGGGAATGGCATTGGAGTCTTAACCAGGGTATAATTTGTTTGATAGGTCACACATCCTAAGGTGGGCAGAACTATGCACAGACACACACCCTTACCTACATTCTACAATCCAGTTAATAAGATACTGGTAGTTTTAATCTGGTTTTAAATATTTAAAGGTTCTTACAATACTGTTCTAAGCTACAGATAATTTTTTTTAGTTGATGATATTCTGCGAGTAGAAATATACGTATGAAGCTAAATTGTTCCTTCAACGTTCTTGTTTTAGGTGAATTTATTAAAGCTCTATATGAGTCAGATGAAAACTGTGAGGTGGATCCATCCAAGTGTTCCTCTGGTGAACTGCCAGAGCACCAGAGTAACCTAAAGATGTGCTGTGAGCTTGCCTTCTGCAAAATTATCAACACATACTGGTGAGTACTGCAGCTCCATCATCAGCTGCTTGGATTTTTCTTTATATAACAACACTTCATTAGCCTCGGTTTTTAAATGCATTCATCAAAGAGTGTTTGATTGCACACATCGTTTCATTAATATTGGCAATGCTTCATCATATGTTTTGCTTTCCAATATTTCCTTTTTTTGTAAGATCAAATTCCTTTGTTTTTTAAATAGGCTTTAATAGATATTAGGCTAGACTTAACAATGCTATTTGTCAGCGACATCTCTTGTGTTTTTGATTGGGTACAGTGTTTTTCCACGAGAACTGAAAGAGGTGTTTGCATCATGGCGGCAAGAGTGCAACAGTCGGGGTCGACCGGATATCAGCGAACGGCTAATCTGCGCCTCACTGTTCCTGCGCTTCCTTTGTCCAGCCATCATGTCACCCTCCCTTTTCCACCTCATGCAGGAGTATCCTGATGACCGCACGGCTCGTACGCTCACTCTCATTGCCAAAGTCACGCAAAATCTGGCCAACTTCACCAAGTGCGTTTTCTCAGATTTTTATATATTTTTTTTATATATATATAAAGGGAACACATTTTGTTCCCTGGAATTTAGCACAGATTGATAGTTTTGTTTCCCTTTTCTGTCTTTTATGTCCGTCTGCCCTTAGATTTGGAAACAAGGAGGAGTACATGTCTTTCATGAACCAGTTCCTGGAGCATGAGTGGACCAATATGCAGCGTTTTCTGATGGAAATCTCCAACCCTGAGACAATCTCAAACACAGCCGGCTTTGAAGGCTACATTGACCTTGGCAGGGAGCTGTCGACCTTGCACTCACTTTTGTCTGAGGTGGTCTCCCAGATGGACCAGGTACTAAATTAACCATTATTTGAGGCTCCATTGTCAACATGTCAGTCTAATACAGTAGTTTATCATTGTATAAATTATTTAGAGCCTCAAATTATTATGAAATGAAAACTTCTGAAGAAAACATTATATAAGTGACAAAAATATATGTTTCATCAATAGATAAATGTGACAGTTTGAGTGGAAAGTGTCAGTATTCATTGCACTCATTGCTTCGTCTATATGTCTCATTAAGCTGCATATTGACTAAACTTGTATTGTAGGCATCTGCATACTTCTAGCTACATGCTTGCTGGAGATTTCATATTATAATTGGATGGTTTTCTTGACAGGGAACTTATTATTCAACATAATATGGACGATAAATCTTTAATAGAATTAGGGTTAGGTTCATTTCAGCAGCTTTACTTTAGCCCGCTCTTTACACCAAAATTAGATAAATGAACCTCCAGAAGAATTAGAATATGTTATGGAGTCAACATAAACTCAGAAACACCAGTGTCCATGTCCAGTTAACATGACAAGAACTATTTAGTCGGATTTAACAGCTTTAAACTGATATAAGGTTTACTACTGCCTAAATGCATAAGTGAAATACGTAACTGTCAACCAGCCGAAGATGTAACTATTTAGCCTCATTAACAAGAAAAATGTCCTGTTATATGTTGAACCACATATAATTTCATTGGCTCTATTTGCTGTATCCAAATCCTTTGAAAGGATTCAAACCAGAACGGTTTGAATCCTTTCAAAGGATTTGGTCTACAAATTTTTACTTCAAAACATATATAGAAATGTTTATGCAACAATGTTTTCAAATGAGAACGTAATCCCAACACACACAAAAATAGGTTTTTGGATGAATGGATCTGAGGGTTAAGCTTCTGCCCTGAACTCTACTCTGTTAAAAAATTGGTTGATCATTCCTTCACAGTAGACATACAGATACTTTATTAATCCCTTATAGGTGAAATTTACCTGCCCAGTAGAAAAGATTAAATTAAATGGGATAAAAAAAAACACAAAATTAGATTTAAAGAATTATAAATAATAATGAAAGTAAAAGACTCAGTCCTTCAGGATTCATTAAACTGATCTACTGTATCTCTCCCATCTGCTTCTCACAGACATCAAACATTAACTAATTAAATAAAAAAGCTCAGCCATTTTGTTAAAAAAAAGTGATCAAATAACAAACTAGAAAGCTTTTGATGGTGACAGGAAGCACACCGATTCTCTGAATTATTGGCATTCATCTAAATATTAAGGCTGAAAAAAAGCACCAGTCAAATAAATAATTGAGCCTCACATTATTATAAAATAAACACTTCTGACTAAATCTATCTGTTATGTCTTCTCTTTACCTTCTAAAACACATTTGGATATATAAAACTGCAAGAATGGAGATCTGTCAGTGTCTAGTGGTTGCAGCTGTGTGAATCTCTGTTTGACTACGTTAAAATGTTTATCCCAAATCAATCAATAATTAACGATTTCATTACATAAGGAGAGCACAAAAGAAGGGCAGAGTAAAGTATTTACACAGTAGAGCATTAGTTCTGCTAGCTGCTGGTTATGCTGCTTCAAAAACTGTCTTTCAATAATTTAGAAATCACAGTCTGCTTAATTCTCCAGTCCATCAGTCTGTCCGTCCTATTACATTATGAATAATGTTGTCTAAATAAGATATCTGATACTGCAGTGAAGGGGGAAATCCAGAATGTGTTTTTAAAACTATGCAAGTAGAAAATCTAATTAATACCTGATCCCTGTGGATCTAGATAGATGTTTAATCTGGCTCTGATTTAATTGTCTGTCTTCACAGAGCATGGCTTCAAAGCTAGGCCCCCTGCCCAGAATCCTCCGGGAGGTGAGCACGGCTCTGTCTAACCCCTCCAGCGTCCAGATGACACCTGGGCCGTCCTCAGAGCCCGTAGGTTCCCCTACTGCTGAGGCGTGCTGCAGCATTTCCACCGGGCTGCAGAAGATGGTCATAGACAGTGAACTGTCAGGGTAAGAATCATCAGCATCACGCTCTATGCACAAACTCTGTCTAACTGTTCACTTCATTTATTAGTCAATAAGTATATAACGATGGGATTAATATTTTCAGCTCAATGAAGTTAGCAGCACAATTAAGATGTTAGTAGCTTCTTTTTCTGTAAATGCAGAAATGTCCAATTAAACTTCCTACCCTATAAATTTACAAAGAAAAACTAGTTTGAAACACTGTTTTCTAAATCTTTTTGTGAAAGAGACAAACGTTTCCCAACTGAGGTTCTTTTAGAAATTTGAAGATAACAGAAGGAGCCTGATCCAAGGCAGATCAATCTGTCTACAGTCATGGCGAAGAGACGATTACAAGCAGATTGATCTTTGAATCAGTCTGGAGCTGCTGAATCAGTGAACAAAAACAGTTTGACAAGCAGACTCATTTCCACTCCGTACTGATATCTTAACAGTTGTGTCATATTCAACTACGGTCTCTTGCCAAAGCTTGAAAATAGCTTGACGTCTTCACATTTTGTCACAATATATCATTAAAAACTTTTGCGTATTTTGGGAAGGCAGAAGATGATAGTGAAGTTCAAAAAATATGATGCAGTAACCTAAAGCACACAGTTCATTACTGTGCCCATATGGTCCACTCAAAAGTTATATCTTTGAGTGGAATAAAGAATGAGTGGGGAGGCTTAAAAATTTTCACAGATGAACGTCAAACAATCCGGTTTTCCTCCAGGATTAAACTGTTTTCTTCCCTCTACTTCACTGTTGTTTGCTATTTTATGTTTGTCCAATAGGGATGGGTGAAATGATCTCAAATCAATATTACCATAAATTGGGCAGTTCTACCTCGATAACGATAAATCCATGATAAATGCTCTCTAAAAAATGGCAGGTGGAGGAAATGCAACTGGTATTTTTTATGTATTTATTGACCAAATAAAATTACATATTAGTTTCAATTAAATATAAAAGTCTTGTAAACATTTGAGTTTAAACATTTAACAATGTGTCATTAAAAAGGAAAAAAAATGCTAGCTCACTTAAACGTTTTTGCCCAAAGGTAATGGAGCCTTTTGCACATCTTCGAACTCAGCAGCAGGGTTGGTCCTGCAGGTGGTGGAGGTTGGATGTGTTACTTTGGGCAATCACGAACTTCGCATTTTGCTTTTTTTTTTTGCTCAACATCCTCTTTCTGGAACCAAGAATATTTCAATATTACAGACGTCGAATTTTTGGGGGGGAACTAATATGGCAGGATTAACCCATTTAGGCCGGGATCGCATTACTGCATTTCTACCATTCAAGCCGGGGGCACTGTTGCGTAATTCTACCATTGACGCCGGGAGAGCATATAAGTCAGTTTCCGTGTATACAGGTTTTTGCACCGCCTGTCGGCCTCTAGGCCAATGAAATGCATCAGAATAGAGGCAAAGGAGTGACGTAATTACCCGCTGGTCATTGTTTGGGAAGTAAAAGTAGGTGGGCCAACTGTGTATGGTTGTAAACAGTGCAGCCTGCCACTGCACATTGAGTGCTTCGGCAAGCACTATCGTCGTTACATGTGAATCAGACTGTTTAAGTCATCAGTATGTTCTGTTCTTGTTCTTAACAGTTCATCAAGTCACTGACACAAGTTGATATTATTTATTATTTTCTTACTATTTTTGATTGAAAATATTAATGTTCACTTTACTTTTACATTGTTTATTTTTGTGAAGGAGTATCTAAATAAACACAATTTCCCAGGAAAGCCACAGGTGTAAGCTTTCAAATACTTTTTGAATTTTGTTTCTATCTGCTACAGAAGCTGAGATATCAATAATTTACTAGGCGTTGACACAGTTGCTGAATTTACAGAAAAACTTCAGGTTTTAGGGGTATTTTTTAAAATCGGCCATAGGTTTTTAAGGTGTTTTTTCCAGGCGTTTTAGGCCTAAATGGGTTAAGAAATGGTTTCATTTATGGCTGTGTTAGTCACTTCTTCACTGAGTTCATCCGCCATTCGATTTGTTTGCGTGCCGTCTGACTGTATAGGTGGAGTCACTTGATTACAAAGTCGCTGCTGAGTCTTAAAGGGGAATGAAAATGCCAGCCACCCTCGCACACAAGACAAAACAAAAGAATTAAGTTTATTTGTTTTACCGACATGGGAAAATTGTCACCAGTTATTGTAGTGAATGACGGTAACGTTAAAAAAAAATCCAGTTTGTTGCCCAATACATTTGAAAGAGGATAGAAGTTAAAATAATAGAAAAGTGCAAGGTATATAAATACTTTTATTAGGCCGTGTATCAACAGTGACATTTACTGTGTTATTAAGACAGCGGTAGTGAGAATATATTGGATAACAACACAGCAACAGCTGCAATATCATTTCAGTGGCACAATTTTTGAAATCATTGTCCTGCTGCTTCTTTATTTTATTAGACCAATGCATCTCCAAGTGCCTGAAAGTGGCAATTGTGGAAAATTTTTACAAGTCATGCAAATATCTACAAAAATGAATTTCCAATCATCTTTTGTGTAGTTCCAGGCCTGATGATGATGCAATCCTTTCCTATGTTGACAAAAAGAAAATGTATTGTCATTCAGGTTTTTTCTCTCACTAACTGCAAGTGGAAGTTGTGACACAGCAGTTAGAGCATGACCTCAGCATGTTTACATCACCTTGACAAACGTTTTCATCATCGTGTTGATGTATACTCGCTCAGATGGGCTGATGCTTCTCATCCCCTCGCAAAATGATGAGAAGGAGAAGCTTAAAAAATGATCATGAAAGTGCAAGAACTAATAGAAGCATTCCACATTCTGCAGCTTTTATTGCAGAGAAAATGAAAACGTGTTGAAGGGAAACAGGAAGTGAGTCAGTCCGCTTCTGTCATTATGTTCATCAGGCTTCAGGATCAATGGAACTAATTAACTGCTGCCCCCATTTCTAACCTGATGTCAGAGCCTCTCATCTTTACTTTATCACAATAACTGTTTGCTCACATTATCGGAGCGTGCGTGTGTATCGACATCGCCGGACTCGGTGACTGAAATTCAAATGAGCCTCAACGTTCTCTGTTAATTGCTTACTTTCTGCTAACCTGTGACATGAAAAGTAGGAGGCAAGGAGAGACAGCAGCAAGATTGAGGATAGAGAGATACTGGGCAGAATAAAAAGAAAAACAGGTTAAAAGATAAGAAGGGTTGAAGGAGGTGGAGGAGAGGGATGAGTTGAGGGAGAAAAGCTGAGCGTGATGGGAATGATAGGTTCTTGCAGCATGAGTCACATCTGTCAAAGTAGACATCTTTTGGCAATCAGGACTCCATCTGTCAGTGGAGAATAGGGAAGAAACAAAAAGTGTGGAGATGAATGAAGAAATGTTCGAGCATCGGCATCAATACATTTCTTTTCCTAAATTTTAAGAGATTGGGTAATGATTTTTGTCATGTATTTAATGCTTTTTGGTCCTTTGAGAGACCAGATATACAAGAATTACATAGTTCACACAGCAGTCATTCATTTCTACAAATAACATGCCTATAGCATGAGCTGTACTGCCCGGGCATTTCTTACTTGGCTAGATAGAAAAAAAGGCTCTTGAACACTAATTGTCTGCACCACAACCTTTTTAGATCTAACAAATTAGCTGTCTTGGCAATCTGCTCTAAATTAAATGGTTTTTCTTGAAGATTGGTTCAATTTTCTTCACATTAGACCAAACTTTTGTTCCAGTGTAATAAGCCTGAGTTGAGGTTCACTTCCCTGCCTTTAAGACTGACTCTAACCGGAATATGACTGTTTTAGGTAATTTTTTCATGATAAAATCTGCAGTATCCATAAAGTTCAGTCACATTGTTGCAAAACTGTTTTCAGTTTTCTTTTTAATTGTATACATTATACAAGACAAATAGAAGGAATCCAAAGAAGCTAGTTCATTTCACTGGCTTTATTATATGTTGTTCATCTGAGTTAAAGCAAGTGACAAAGGATTTCAAACGAACATGTATTTGGTGGAAAAGTAAGAATTCCCAGTTTCTTTTTTGATGAATAAAGTAAGGCTTTTTACAAAATTTGAAGAATCAAATTATTATACAAAAATATTTGCAGGTCTTACATTGCTTTATTTCTTCTGTCTTTTAATGTCTTTCTTTTTTTTCCTCACAAATAAAATAAAATTACTTTATCCTATGAAGGTTTAACCAGTCTAGATATCCAATTTGTTGAAATAAGTGTGTCCAGTTTGGCACTGAAATAAATTGCTGATTTTAATTTTGGCATAATTACCTGCTAGCAGTAAGACAATCATAGAATTCTCACAGTCTTTTTTAAAGTCATTTGTATTTTTCCTTTTTCTTTTATCTACCATGTAACCCAGAAGCTGTAACAAAATCCATTTAAAAGTGGAGGGGCTGCTTTAATGTTACGATAAATAACATTGTCATCCAACACAATTTGACAATTTATTTACAATTTGTAAGATAAGCTTTCTTCAATAAGAAATATAAAAGGTTTTTAATATTATAACAGCATTGTAACCCCATTTATTGTCCTTTTTTTTTCTTTTGCCTATCTCTGTCAGATTGGTTGACTTCACACGGTTACCTTCACCCACTCCAGAAAATAAGGACATCTTCTTTGTGACAAGGAGCTCAGGTATCCAGCCTTCCCCTGCTCGCAGTTCCAGCTATTCAGAGACTAATGAGCCTGAGCTGGGCATGTCAAATGGCAACAAGAGTTTATCCATGGTGGACCTCCAGGACCCCCGCAACCTGGATGCCGGAACTACTCCGAGCCCTTCAGATGCTCTAAATGAAAGCCAAACCTCTGGGGGATTGTGGCCAGCCAGAGTCTCACAAGGTAACATCCCAGGAGGTCCTACCATGAGAAGGCCCGGCCAGACCCCCACTACCCCAAGCACAGAGAGCACTCCAGGTCGACCCGCGCAGCTTCTAGCCCCGCTGTCCTTCCAGAACCCAGTTTACCAGATGGCGGCCTGTTTGTCAGTGTCTCCTCGAGGAATGACTGATTCGGGGTCAGAGTGCCACAGCTCTGTTAGTTCCCATAGCAACAATGAAGATGGGCCTGCAGGAGGAAAGCAATCTTTTATGAACCATAGCGGAGGTGGGGGAAGCAGCGGGGATGAGTACACCAGGCGTTCCGGGGAGTTTAACCGTCGACAACTATCGCTCACTGAGACCCAGCAGCAGCCCAGCGTCCCCAGACAGAACAGCGCCGGCCCACAGAGGAGGATAGACCAACCTCCACCTCAGAACGTTACCCGAGGCCGTACGCCCCCCAATCTGCTCAGTGGCGGCCCTTACCCTCGCCCATCCTCTGGGAACATGATGACATCGTCACCGGACTGGCCAGCTGGCGGCGCCCGTTTGCGGCAGCAGTCGTCTTCTTCTAAAAGCGACAGTCCTGAGACCAAACAGAGGGCTCAGCACAAACAGGTCAGTGTCCACAATACAACTCTATAAACTTTAATATATATATGAAAAAAAGAAGTTATGATATATTTATTTAATATATCAACTGTAAACCGTCTCTGGAGGTAATTACAGGATATTAAGCAGATTAAAGAACAGCGATTTATAAGGAAAGGATATGGTGGGTGTAATCGCAGAGACAGCAGATTTTACCCTGATGAACTACAGTCACAGCCTGGGTAATAACAGTTATTTTCATACAGGCAGCTTATTCCCACGGCACTGTTTCACTGGTTATTTATATTGAGATGAGTATTAGGCTGTTGCAGAGGCACACATTGCATCTTATTAGAAAAATACATACAATGGCCTCTTTAAGATGAGGTCACAAGCTTACTGTATATACACTCATCAGGGCTATGCGGTTCGTTAGTTTTCAATGCATTTAATATTAGTAGAAACTAAAACTATTCTTTTTTTGTTGGGTCCATGTCCATGCGGACAGAAAAAAAAAACAATTTAGATAAGTCATTAAAAAAATTAAGTTATATAAAGAGAGCAATGCATGATGGGTGTTTCTAAACTTCTGATTGTTATGCTTGGGAATACATTTGATTGTCTGGTAAGTGTGTTTCTAACATTGAATGTGATTAAAACCCCTGAGCGATGATTACCGTGATATCTGATAATAGAATATCTGCATATTACCTATAATCTTCACTATTTCCTTTGTTGAAGAGAACCATTGCTCACTTCTTTAATGGATTAGTTAAAGAGCCACTATGTTTGATAAGAAATGTAAATCAGATTTTGTAATAACCATCCCTTGGAAATTAGGTCCATATCCTCAGCAACACACAATCAAGTACTTAGATACTGTAATGCTTAACTTTACTGCTATCTAAAGGTCGTAGGTATGGATTCATTAGTTCAAAGCTCAAGACACGATTTAATCTTACATTAAATGTAATATATAACATTAGTTTTTGCCTATATACACAGCAATATAGTTTTAAAGATAATAATACATAATGTTTTCATTACTAAGAATAATTCTGAAAACCGTAGATGTACTGAATGTTTGAGAAAGAATTAACCAATCACAGACAAGCAGAGCGGGAATCCATCAGATCCAATTTAAAAAGATCCTTTTTAAACTTATCAGTTGTTCAGAAGCTTTTAGCTCCCTGTTTTTATCTCTGGTATCTACTTCCCTTGCTCCTGTTATAAAAAGCAAGGTTTTGTGATACAGATTTGAAAAGTGTGTGTGCCACAGTGGGAGCTTCCAGACAAGTGTGTGCATCCATTCCACCTGCTGCTTTCAGCCCAGATGAGTTGGTGCATTTCAAGCTTATTTCTGTTGTTCCTGTTGTGTTTTTGCAACCTCCCTCCTGCCCCTTCCCTGACACTTTCATTCAGCTCATGTGTGTGTGTATGTGTGTGTATGTGTTGGTTTTACTAGGCCCCCTCCCCAGTGAACCCCAGTGCGCTGGACCGCACAGCAGCCTGGCTTTTGAATATGAATGTGCAGTATTTAGACCATGAGGGGATGGAGCCCGAGTCACTAAGAAACAGAGAGGATCTGACTCAGGTGGAGAAGGTAACCCCGTCATCCAACCTTTGACCTTTAGCAACCATCAGCCTTTATACCCCCACCTAGCTCTCTTTCTTTTCTGTTCTTCACCTTCTAGTTCAAACTCTTTGAACCTTCTCACATTATGTCAGAGCAAAACCTCAAACTTTAACACACTATCAGGATTTGATGGGATGGACCAACACAAATTGGTTTCTAATTATGGAAATATGGAAATTAACCTTAATTAAATCCAAACTCTTGCATTCACCCCCTTTACTCAGATAAACGTAAAAGAAGCACCTGGAAAATTACTTTCTCTAAAAGTCCCCTAATTTGTAAAAGTTCTACTTGTGTATAATTTAATCTTTTAATAAAAGTCTTTTTAATATTTTTCTGCAGTTTGCCATTGTCTGTTCAGATGAGACAAAATATTTGGCCTCCACACAAAGTGCTCTCTATAGCAGTAAAATATCATTGCCAGTAGTCGTGTTAAGCATTAGTCTATAGATAGTTGAGGGAAGATAGGAACCAAACCAAAAAAATTGTTAATATCCCTACTAGATTTAGGTTTAGAATAAATGATTTGACCAAAATCCGTTGGCTGGAATTAGCATGAACATTTTATGGCTCAGTCGAGGTATGAAAATAAAACTAAAAGGCAATCTTCAGAATTCTGATCATAGAAAGGAGGAATTTAAACCTCAAAACTTAAGAGTTCATTAACAAAGAGTCTGCAATTATCCAAACATATAATAAAAACTGCTAAATAATCATCTGTTTGCAGTACTGATTCTCCTTAAGATTTTTGCAAAGACTAAGACCATAAATACACACCCTGAGCTGCAATGAAATAATTTAAGTTAAAGAATATTCATTAGTTAAAAAAAGGCTGAAATAAAGAGCAGACCTAAACCTAGAGCTGAATTTTTGCAAAGAAAATTATTTTTTCAAAAATAATCGTCAAATACTTTAGAAGACTAGTGGGACTGTGCAACATCACTGAAAATATATCAGGAGCATTTCATAGTAGTAGTTCAATCAATAATTATTAATAAGTTTATTGTTTGTTTATTTAAATAAAAAGCTGGTTAAAAAGTCAAAAACCTTACCGTCTACCCTGTTGGCAGCCTTGTTTAGTTTGGGAATGAGACATTAGGCTAAATCTTTTCCTCTGCCTAGATCCCCTCCCCCATAATACCTTATGTTCTGGATAAAAGCAGAATGGGGTCTCAATCCCAAACCGGCCTCTAAGCACCAACCCTGAACACTAACCCTCCGTTTGCTCATTCTGGAGGGTCCACCCCATTAAGTGCCATCCTAAACCACCTAGTGGGTAGGGCCAGTGCACCGTTCAGCCCTTAAATAGCAAGTCTGCATCAGTTGTAGATCCGCTGGAACTCAGCAGTAGGTATAACAGCGGCCTGATGACAGAGGAAACATGTTCCGCCTAATGTAAATTCCCCTGGTTTGTTGCATCTTCGTCACAGACAGGATATCACAAGTTAGTATATGAAAAAAAAAAAGTAATCAAGTCCAAAATGCATGGTCCTCTTTGAAATTGTTTTATATGACCGTACGTTTGTTTTAAGAAATGGGCAAATGTTTATTGTAATGATAACCTGGGCCACATAGCTACAGCCATGTACATGGGGAGTCAGTGTGTTGCCATAGCAACAACAACTTTCCTTTTCTGTTGGAGGGAAGAAGCCGTCCCATTCTTGCTTCAATCAAGGCACCTTCCACAGCTGCAAGAGAGACTTAATTGGGAGGGACATTTGACAGTTAAGGGTTAGTGCTTAGAGGGTGGTTTGGATTTCAGCTGGGCTATGTGCCTGACTCCACCACTTTCTGAACTTCAGCCATCTCCTTTGTTTCCCATTTTTCATTACTGGACTCACTGATTAATCCAGTTGTGTCTGACCTCAGTAACCATGACGACAAGGGCCAGACACACCTGTATTAATCAGTGTGTCCAGTAATGAAAGACGGGGAAACAAAGCAGCTGGCTGAAGTTAAGTATGTAGTGGATTTGGGCATGCAGCCTGTTAATAAAAATGTTATCATATATTCTACTGAAATGGATCAAGCTTGTATTGTTATCTAGTTTTGTCAAGATTGGTAAAAAAAAAAAAGAAAAAAAAAAGAAAGAAAGAAAACCTACCTTAAATTTCCCATCTGTATTTTAGTCTGGGGGCTTTTAGAAGGTACATGTCACATTAATCTGTGGATCCTTTTCCACTCTCTTTACAACTACTCCATATTTTGTTCAGTCAAATCAAATCCGTATAACATGGCATTCGAGTCAATGAGTCGATGCAATCAACTGGTTTTCCTTAGATAGAAAACTTTGAATCAATTTGACTGTATGATCTGGTGAACTGTAAAGTGCCTTGAGATGACATGTTGTGAATTAGCACTATATAAATAAACTTAATTGAATTGAATTGACTGTTAAAAAAAACTTAAAAAGGAGGAGGTATGCATGCTTTTACAAGGCACTGGATACACCCTGAAAACACCATTCCCTTCTCCTGTTTTACTTCTGGAACTTTGAAGACTAGAATCTGACAGAGAGACAAAAAGTTGGTTGTTGAGGCAATCTATATATCAACATAGAAGATAAAAGCTGGATCAACTGCATCAACTGACTCCAGTTGTCCCATGTGACCTCATCATATACTTTTGGAGGTACGGTATGTCAGACTTAAAATGTTTGGGTTTTTTATGTTTTTATATGTACAGCCAGGTGTGCAGAATCAAACAGTAATACTGTTAGGCTGAAGAGGGGGAAATGATCTGCAGGTCTTCAAGTACCAGCAGTCAATATCAGCACTGATACTACAGCAACTTTATTAATTTGTTCATTATTTTCTGTGCAAAGGGTCAATCATTTGACCTGTAAGCAGCCTGAAAGGCCATTTAAATGGACTAAGATATCCTCTTTATTTAGCCAACTGGTACCAATTTTTCAGTATTTTCAGTTTATATCATTTGCAAGGAAGGGAAATTAAATGCATCTTTATAGGCTAATTTCTAAATGTAATATTACTTGAATAAAGAGGCCTTTTCATCTTGAATACTTGAATTTAATTTTGAAATTCAAAGGAAATGGATGTTTTTGAGTGCAGCCTACTTTGTGTGAAAAAAATTCCAAAATAGAAAAACTTCTTCCATCTTTTCGTCTCCTTACCATCACCAAAATACACTCTGAAACCAAACTTATGACTATAGATCGAGGTGACTATTAAAAAACCGAACATTCACACGGACTGCTGTGTGTGCATGTGTGTGATCGAGACAAAAAGTTGCTTTTATGCTGCCTGTTCTGCTTCCCAGTGTCTACAGCTGTTCATTGTTGCTCTGCTTCTTTGCTTTCCTTAGTTCCCACATGCTCCCTCCCTTCATATTTTCCCCCCGCCTATCTATAATGAGAACAAACCTGTCATCCTAACATAGCTCGTACTTTATGGGAGCCAGCAGCCTTGGGAGGGAGAGCTACCAAAGAAGGCAATAAGTTGAGTCTTAACAAAGAAACCACAGCCACCCTGAAATAGCAGAAAGGACTGGAAGACAGTGCTGCCTCCACAGCAGAGAGACGAGCTGCAGCTAATGAGCGATACAGGGTGACAATTCATTTAAAATGTGCACCATATGACATTCTGGCAATTAATATATATAGCTTGGTTTATCTTATATGGAAATATTCATTTTGAATTTCTTAATTCACCCAAGTAAAAAAATAGAGAGAGAGAAATTCAGATATTTTATGTTTATGTATCTTTTTTTCCAGATACATATGGCATGTTAAAACAAAAAAACAGAAGCAAAAAAAAATAAAAAAATCAGGGTAATGTATAATATTACTTACCATGAAAAAACAGAACACATAAGAGGATGTTTTTGGAAGTACTTTTGTGTAATATAGATTTCATTCAAGTTGGATCATCTCAGGATTATAAAGAACATGCGTGATCCAGTTAGAAAGTTACTTTAACACTCCATAACGCTCTTTGGTTGGTAAAGATGAGGGGATGGGATGGACTCCTTAGTTCCAGCTAGTTCAGTATGATGTTTCTTCTTATTAATTTACCAAGATCTTATAACTTTGAGCACAAAAATACAACTTGAGGCAAATATTTTATAGATTCTTAGTAAAACCAGTCTATTGATTAATTGATTAATGGTTTCAGGTCAGGTGGTGAAGGATAATGACCAGGTGAAAATTAGCGAAACCATCTGCCGCATCCACAGCACCAATCTAAATCCTTTTCCTTTTGTCAGCATCTTACCCTAATAAGTGCATCAACAGCCGTAACTTCCTGTCCATTCATCGCTGGACTGATGTCTGTTAGGTCTGCATGACAAAGATCTGCTGCACTAACAAGTCATGCAAGTCTGCCATCTTCCGTCCTTCAGAGATACACAGCTTACTGTCATAGCAACATCACCAAGCATGATATGTTTTAGAAACCAAACAGTGTGCCCCAGGCTTTAAGGAGCTGCAAAAAACAGAAGGAAACTGCTGCACATACAGCCAGAGCTACAGTGGATAAGTTTACATCAAGCAGATCCTGGTGCTTAAATGGCCTAATCAGAAAACACCTAAATCTGATCAAGATTATATAACAAGTCTTACGCAGGGAAGATGGGTAGCAGTTAATTTGGAAGATGCTTCTAAATACAGTAAAATGTTATCCTGTAGGAGGTCTGTTACAAATTAAAACTATTTTTAAATGCTTTTTTCTTTTTTGCAATTTTTCAAAACTTTGTATTGATTTAGCACACAGAATTCTGCATATTACACTGAAACTGATAGTGATAAAAACATTTTCCAGATATATAAAACCTTTTCATGCCACTGGTTTTTTAACTGTATAGGAAAACAACCTACAGGATTCCCATTGTGACTATTGCTGTAATTATCCTATTCAATGTATCTGATTTAATCCTTTTGGAAGAAGCTTATAGACAGCTAAGCAAAAATGTAAATAAACTAAGGCATCAGCCAAAAACTCTGTCCTTTGGAATATTTGGACCTCTCTTTCTGCACAAAGAAGATTTTACTACTTTAAAGGCAGCATTTTTGTGCTTTGCTATCACATCCTGAAGAAGCATTCCCTGCAGTTGGGACATTTAATACTTAAGTAAAGTAACCTTAATTTTACAGCATATGGCTTTTGGGAAAGTGTCCATGCAGGGAGACAAAAACAACACCAGACACACATTCATCATTTTTACATAGCTGCCTCCAGTGAATGGTGTCCATTGTTGGCCTGAATGGAAAGATAACCTTATCTGGAATGTTGTCAGCTGGAACACCAGAACAGCAGGTGCAAAGCTCCTTTGTTTCCTATCCGTCTTGTATTAAACCACCTTATCAATATTCATGCAATACATGTTAATTTTACTGTGTGTTCTGCTGAGCTTTACATGTAAGCCGCTGTGCAATTCAGATTAATAAGCCACAGAATGTCAAAAAGACGCTTATTTTGCAGTGCAAGAGAAAATGATAGTAGAGACAGGATTGGATATTGGGTTTGTTTCAGAGAGACAGAGGAGTAGGGGAGCTCAGTCTCAGCAGATGTCCCACATTCTCAGGAGAATCAGCCACAAGAACTGAGGTTTATCAGAAATGGAGAAAGGAATAAAGAGAAGCTGACTAGATAAACCTGTTTGAGGTCACTGCTTTCTTGTAGTGATTGACTGTGAAATGTCTCTGTGATGTAGCAGGCTGGGGACAGAAATGGGAATGCATGGGAGGAGATGAAGAAAGATAAGTGATCCCAGCAGAATTCCCATGGCATGCAAGGGGAATCAGATAATTCAGGATGCGGGGAAAGGTTGTCCAACACAACATTGCTATCATTTATCACTAAAGGTTGCAGCATTCTGTTCAATTAGGATACAACTGGAATAGGCGAGATAAACAGGTTGTATCAAAATGAAATTAGAAGATAAGATATAGTTTAACCTGCACTATGGCAATTTACTACAGCGTATGGCTGCAAAAACCTTTTTTATTCTAATACATGCAGAAGAAGTGTAAAGGAACACAGAAGACTGTGTTTTAATGTCATGGAAGCACAGCAGAAAGGTCAGGGATGAAGCTGTAGAAGTAAAAGATTTAAAGCAGAGTTAGGTCATAGAAAGGTATCCCAAAGTTTGAACCCCCTCACAGACCAATGCTCAATCCTTTATTCTGAAAAGATGAGAAGAGGTATAAAAAGCTGGTAGAGGCATAAATCTTACCTGCAGTCGGAGCAAAATGTGTTTCTGCAAAACAGAGCAAAGGTTATAAGCTGATAAAAAAAAAAAAAAAATGAAGTGAAATATGAGTTTTGCAAGGTACTGTAGTTTATCTGACAACTTAAAAATCTTCCTGTTGCCCCTAACTCTCCACAGAAATAAAAACAAAGAAAAATCACACACAAAATAAAAAAATCAAGTTGCTCCCTCTGGCATATAGACACCTTCCTGATGTCCGTCCTCTTCTTTCCTCTCTTTTTATTTAATCTAAACCTCTGAACTTCCCTGTCTGTTATTTAAAAGCCACATATTCAATAGCCCTTACATTTCAACCCAACTCAACAGAGACTGTCAATCAGAAAATATACAGTGCAGCTAAAACACTAGCATGAAAGTGCTGTGGTGATATGAAATCTGTCTATTTATAACAGTTATTCTTATAATCCAGTGATACAAATGAAGCAGAAAAGCTTCTGATAGACTGAGGATGATTAAAATCTCTCTATGTCTCTGATGTTTTAGTACCAACAAGAGATTGCGGTGCTGCAGGAGAAACTGCGTGCGTCTGTACAGAAGCTGGAGGAGTACGAAGCCCGTCTAAAAGGTCAGGACGAGCAGGCTCAGAAGGTCCTGCTGGAGTACCAGGCCAGGCTGGAGGAGTCGGAGGAGCGTCTGCGCAGGCAGCAGGACGACAAGGACCTCCAGATGAAGAGCATCATCAGTCGGTAGGGAAAATAAGCCCAGAGTTATGCTACTGTGTGTTTGTATTTCCTTCTAACAATCCATTGTTGCTACATCCAGGTTAATGTCAGTGGAAGAGGAGCTGAAGAAGGACCACTCTGACATGCAAGCAGTTGTGGACTCGAAACAGAAGATAATTGATGCTCAGGTCAGTCTGGCCTGTAGAAATACACTAATAGGAAGTATTACCTGATCAGGCGGGTTTAGAACTGTTCAATTTGGATGTGTTGCCTTTCATGCAGTCTTTGCTCACTGAATACAGGGAGATGTTTACCTCATAACGTTCTGATCACGCAGACAATCCTTCAGTTGCCGAACTGAATGTCTCAGAAGTCAGAAGGGTCAATTTTTAAGAAGCAAAATGGATTCTTCTGACCTCAGTCGAAAAAAATAGATTTCAGATATTTGTCTTTTTTAAAATCAGAATCAGTTTTTATTTTTGACCACGATTCTTAGTCAAAGTCAAACCAGAAATCATCCGCCTTTCAGCTTGACGATAAATGCAAATTGGCTCACAGAGAAACAAAGGTCATAAATCTATTTCATGCCCACACTAATGAGAGTGTGTGTCTGCAAACAACCACAGCTTAGAAAGACAATCAGCGCTCTTAGTAAACAGGAAGAAAAAAATAAAGAGCATTACTCAGGCAGGGCAGGATGTTAGCGAGACAGTTTGAGTAAAATGCTTTAGTTTTAGGATAGAATTCCTCAAGGACACATATAGTATCATCATCCCAACAGTGATGAGTGTCCAGCTGTAATTAGCCTCTCGTTTTGGTTATAATCATCTGAATATCAGAAATTGCAAACATGTATGAAAACACAAACAATTGTTAATTATTTCAGATTAAAGTGTTCAGAGGAATGTAAGAGAGAGTAGTTATATCTGTTCTGACAGAAGAAAAAAAAGGAAAATAAAGGATTTCCTCATCTGATAAATTTTATGCTCACAAACAACTCCCGTGGTTGCTTCCATGGTCTGCCTGTTGACCCACTGGGATAAACCGTGGAGTTTTCTCATTCTGCAGTCATTGGTTGTTCTTCCCCTTGAAGGAAAGATTTTAAAACTTTAGTGCTAATTGGGTTCAAAAAGACAGTTTTACTAGGTAAGGAAAATGTTCCCTTTTTAATTTTGTGTATCTTCCTAAGTATAAATAATTGTCCTTATGAAAACTTTAACTGCCTGATCTAAACTTTTATGCACTGGAAAAATAAGGCTGCACAACCATTTGACATACCCTCATCAGTAAGTGTTATATTTCAGAGAAAACTGTATGTTTTCTCACTCTAAATTAAAAGAGAAGAATGTACAATAGTATTCTGCAAGTTTTATTTTCCTTGAGTTGTTTTCACTGAGTAATCATCTCAAACTGATAAAAAAAAATAAAAAAACACTTCTAGGAGTCTTATAGGGATTCTATAATACATTTTAGTGAAGCAATAAAATAAACTCCACTCTTACAAGATTAGATTACCATAGCCAGTAAACTCTTTTTTTTTCCTAATATTCATTTTTCCAATTGTGTTTCTTTGCAGGAGAAGCGCATCGCGTCGCTGGATGCTGCCAATGCTCGTCTCATGAGCGCGCTCAGCCAACTGAAGGAGCGTTACAGCATGCAGACCCGTAACGGCATCTCCCCCACCAATCCAACCAAGCTGCAGATCACTGAGAATGGAGAGTTTCGGAACAGCAGCAACTGCTAAGGCTGCTCTGAGTGTGTTTGAGGCTCCTGAGAGTGTACAGTATATTCCTCCTTTTGGGCGTGTGCGTGGCTGTTAGATGGACGGTGAGCACGTGGGTGTGTTTTTTGGAAAGCACTCAGTTTACTTCCGGAAGACATTTCTATTTTTCCTCTGTTTGGGCAATGCTGGCCCTAAAGACATTTCTACAAGGGGGCCACCCAGAAGGATTGGAGCTTGAAGCAGATCACCAGATGGCCTTCTTTGGGAGGCTGATGGAAAAAGGAGGCGGAGCCGAGCTTGTATATAAAAACTCCAAGCTGTGGATGAATTAAGATGCTGGGATGACTCAAACGCCCGGTCCACGCCTGGGACGAACCACTATAAAAACCATAAAGATCGACAATTCAGCTCCTCCCTTCCCTCCTGACAGCGAAGTGGGCCCATTAAAAAACACATGTTGAGGATTTTCACTTAAGCTTGTCTCCAGAGGTTTACTTTCCAATGCTTTATCTCAAAGTATATGTTTTTAAAGAACCAAATATGAGCTATAAATAGATATTTTTTAAATCCAAAACAATCTTCTTTACTTCCCTTTGAATTTAGAGGTGTGTTGCTGAGCGTCCCGTTTACCCCCACAACCCCAACCCCCCTCCACCCTCCCCCATACCCTAAGCAGTGCACTTTGTGAAAGCTATTGGTACACGAAACGCCTTAACTAGGGAACACACCTCAACTTTATCCCCCCACCCGCCCATCCCTTTCTGCAAAACAAACATAAAGGCACAACTTATACTGTGGATTTGTAAAGATAACAAATATTGATTAAATGTATTATTAACACTAAAGTAAATGAATTCTATGTGATACTATATTAATGAAATTTAATATAGATATATGCATTTTTTTTCATCTAGGGTATACACACATATACCTATATTTGATAAAAGTCAAATATAAAAGCAGCCCTTTATTTAAGAGATCAAGTGTTATTTTTTTTTCTCTAATGCTGAGGGACTATAGTGTGTAGCTTGTTCTGGAGCTCTGGAGAGGAGACCCACCCTGAGCAGTGATCAGCACCTAACAGCCATTATTGAACTTAATGTAAGTTTGGCACAAAACTCCTGCATCATTTTGTTTTTTTTGAAGATGCTAGCCATAGACCAGAATGAATCAAAATAGAATATAATGCTTTCAACACAAGGTATCTACAAAAAATGTATATAATCAGATCTGATTCTGTTTAAAACTACATGAAACTTGTGATTTTGTCAGTAGAATAGCAGAGTGCTAACTGATAATAATAAAATATAGATGGAGATATATGAGTTGAATGTCTTATCTGTCCATGTTTTAGCAAAGAAAAATATCTCTAAACATTCATATTAGTCTCTCCATTTAAGGGAAAGGAAAATGCAGTAGCCTCCTTTCAGCCTGCTGACCCGCAGTGCACATCAGCAAGCTAAAGAATGGGCAGCACTGTAACGCTATTACCTCCATGCATCTGCACCAAACTCCATGCTGGCACCTCATTAAAAGAACCCTTGGAATGGGATTTAGGAATGTTTTTGCTGTATTGAAATCAAATATAAAGCTCTGTCTGGAAAGACCTTAAGAAAAATGAAAGAAAAAAATATGAAACAGAGTATCTTAATTGCCCAAACTGCCTCATGGCCTGAAAGTGCACGATCATGTGCTTAGTTTTTCTGGTGCTCATCACTGCTCTGTAAATAATAGATCATTAGCCGTTGCAGGATGTCGGTTGATTCTCTCTAGTTGCACTGGAGCTATTGAGCGATGCGCCTACATGCATTCACTCATTCTATACACTGGACTGGTGAGATTTTTTTATTTACGTCCTTTCATTCAGTTTTTCTCTTTACCAGCTTCATCTTTCAGTCAAAAATGAAGACGTTTGCTTCTAAACTGTGACTCCACTGATCTTCATTTGCATCACCTTTCTTTACTTGTCTGTTTTTCATACTCTACCAGACCTCATGCTTTCTGCTTCTGAATGTACAGACACTATCTAAGGTCTCCTTTCTTTACGTTACCATCTCAGCGTCTGATTTTTGGATATTTTTTTAACATTTTTAATTCCTGTTAAAATCTAAATACATGAGGTGTGAGGCTCTGCATGCCTAATCCAGCTGGAACATCATCCCCCATCTGTGTCCTTTAGTTGCTCGTTGCTTGACATTGAGGATGGCTGCTTAGAGTGCATCGTGAGATGATGAGACCACATGGGAATTTGTAAATAAAATACCCACACTATTTTTACCTGATGTTAAACAGAGCTTTTTGTAAATGTTTTCGTGCTCAAACTCTGCTGTAATTATTGATATTGTAAATAGAAAATAGCCCAGTCAGTCATCTGTCCTCATTGGGTAGAACTATACAAATCAATTAACCTGTAAGTGTTCTCTCTGTTGAAAAGCTTTTGTGTTTGTATCTACAGTGTGTTATCTCTGGCCAAAAACAACAACAAGAAGAAAAAAAAGAACTGATTATGTAGGAGTTTGACTCTTGAGATGAATGCCTTGCTGGTTTCAAGCCAATTTGAGTCCGATGAGCTGCGCAAGCACAATCCAGTTAATCTCATCAGTCTCACTCAATGCACTTTTACATTAGGTGGTTGGTTTTTTTATTTCACTTTTTAAACCACAGATCTGTTGCATTTAAAGATTGATAACTAAGGGAAATTGCCCTATAACTCACATAGCAGATGAACAGACTTTTATTTTATGTAAACAATGAAGTGGCTTATAAATACAGGACATTTCACATATATCTGCATACTTTGCAGCTCTTAAGCTGGTCTGCACAGAATAAAGCAAGACTATGATTCCTTTGGCAAATGAAATTTGGAAAATTCTTTTAAATTATTGATTAACAAAAATTAGACTAGATAAGCTCAGCAATTCTTTTTTGGTTTACAACCAGTCTAAATTTACTGCTTTAAATTTTTTTATAAAACATTTCAGAAATTTACCAACATTTTTTTTCCTTGCAATGCATCATCTAAAGGGCTGAAAAATTGGATCAAACGTGATTAATTGATTATTGGAATAATCGTCAACTAATTTAGAAATTAATTAATCGATAACTGGAGTATAGAGACTCTAAAACATGCCTCTAGCTGACAGAGTGATCCATTGTAGCAGCAATTATAAATTTTTAAAAAATATATATAGCATATCTAAAATATATAAAGATTTTGCATTTAAGATAAAAAAGGAAGGATTTATCTGTCAATATGTTCTATCCAGAACTCCTCATGAGGAAAAGTTTGAATTTCACCTGATTTAATTTTGTAAAAAGTATATAGTATTATTTAAGGAATCTTTGGCTATTCAACTATTAACTGAAAAAATAATTAACAGATTAATCGATTTGCAAAATAATCATTAGTTGCAGCCCTAGTTATCTAAATTACGGGGCAGCTAATGGTTGAACTTCATTTTAAATTCATAAAAATAAAAGGCTACATGCGGGTCATATTATGCTTTACCAAAACAAAGTTTCTTAACTCATTTTAGCATAAAAACATTTAATACAGCGATAATAGGATTTGATACACTGGTTGACCAACTTCTAAACCTCTATGTTTTGAAGGTTAAGAAAGTAGGGAAATTCACAGATTGGTTTGACTCTTAATATTAGCATTTTATTGCAAAAACATTTTACTTTTTGAATAAATGTTCAGCTAGCTGACAGGCTGCAGTTTGTAAAAGTTGGCAGATTTGCAAATTATTTTCAAAAACAGAATTTGACCTAGCATTCGCATTTTAGCACATGCTAAATTCCTGTTTGACTAGATGTCAAAGTTCATATTTGCTATTTGTAAAGGTCGGCAAATTTGCTTGACAAATTCCAAAAAATCTTTGAAATGCATTCATTTTAACATTTTAGCTTAATGCCAACTAGCTGTAAATACTAGTATTATTGATTCGCTATTCAAATAAATTTGCCTTTCTAATTTTTTATTTGGAAAGAGTCATAGTCTTGCCTTATACTTTAAAGAACTAAATATACCCTTTTAGAGTTATATTTTTAAACAATAAAACTGCACCAATAATCAGCTTTTGGTTTTCATTTCATAAATCAGAAAAACAAAAGCTCATTTCTGATATAGTTCAACCAATCAAACAAAAGGATTAAATAAACTATAAAGCTATAAGTAAAAGATGTATGTTTTCTATTATATTGTAGAAAATACTTTTGTAAGTATGTTGAAAGTATAAAGTATTTGCTGGATTCTGCTTCCTTTGATGACAGTGACAAAACAATAATGTACAGAAGAATTTGTGTTGACAAAATGTGGCTGTGCAATTTATGTACATTTGCAACTAGACCTATTAAAGTTTTATTTAGCTATTTTAAACTCTTCCCTGCGTCCATCTCTGCTTTAAAGTGCTTAGCAGTTCTCTGGGATGTTTTTAAGATGTGGAAGCTAAATGAAGCCGGATTTGACAGCATGCATGATGAATCACAGGTTCATTAAATACTCAAGGAGACCTAGATTGATAATAGGCATCTAGAGAGAACATATGCTCCAAATGGTGATCCAAAGGCACAGCGAAGGAAGGGTATGATGGAGACATGAATGAATGGTTTAAACACTGCCTTCTTCTCACAGCAAGTATGACCTACATACTGCCTGATTGTTATTCCCCACAGTCAGTAGGGTATGATCATGTGTTGCAGTGTTGAGAAGGCAGCAAAAAAAGCTGTTTATTGCTTTATTACTATAACTGATGCATATCTCTAACAGAATGCATTAAAATTTAGTAACCAATGTTGGTAATTACTCCCTGTGAGGGGAGCTTATTTCTTTAGCCAAATGGAAACGGCTTCCTGCAGCATATTTAGGGTGTCAGACATATTAACATAATCATCTAATAAGTCCTTTAATGATTAAAAAGTATAAAAACTACAGTTTTATATGTTATTAAGATGCTTCTGCTTATTTTATATTCCCCTTCACATAATATGGTTGCAAATATGGTCTAAGTGCACACATGTTGGAGTGATAAAAGGTAAAACATAACTGAGCGCTGACAGTTACACATTTGTTGGGACCACCAAGCGACACCAACAAACGTGCTGTGATGAATACAGACATTGGAGCTACCCTGTCAGCAGGGACTGCCTGCCTCCACAACAGAAGGACGAGGAAACATGGGCAGATGGTTGTGCTGTGAAACATATCGAAGGTCTTAAAACACATAAAAAATGAGCCGTTTCCGATTCATCCATCAGCCTGGTTGAAGGAGGAGAAATAAAAAGCAGCACAAGGCCAACAGGTGTGCCGGTAAAAGAAGCAGTGAAATCTATAGAGTGAACTGCTACTGATATCCCCTAACATTTTTTTTTTTTCATTTTGTCTTGATACTACTACAGAATAAAATCTCTTAAGATGTTAATATGTAATAGATAAATATGAATCTTTGAAGAAATTAAACATGTGAGGTCATTTGGCCTTAACCAGCTTTTAACCATTGAAGGAGGAAACAAAAAACGTCTCTAAATCAATCTAGAGGATTGCTGGTGTTATATTCAGGGTTATTCATAATAAAAAAATAAAAACTTGCATCCTATTCTATAGAAACTTGTGGTCCCTAGAAGGTTTTCTAGCTGCGTGGCCTCTTTTTTTTAGCCTTATTTACCTTCCCATCAACTCACACATATCTTCTTTGCCATCATTATGAAGTTTGCAGCAAAATACTGACCCCACCGGGCCAAAGGTCCTGAGGCTGCTGGTGTCTCCTGACAGGAGTTTCTGCGACATGTTTGTGGTGTTCCCTACATTGCCTGAGGCTAAATGCAAACAGAACCGTCAATAATGACAATATTACAATACTGATAAGCCCTAGGATCAACACATTCTTGGATCTTAGCTGAGGATCTCAGCAGCTCCTCCAGAGTAAACAGTGGGCCTCCTAATTGCTTTTTTTATGACCCATTTAAAAAGCGTTTTTGCTTCTTTTGACCATGTTTATGTTTGGATGTTCGCATACTTCTTGGCAGCTTTCTTTGATTAATTCTTTCCTTTTCTGGGTGTCAAATTGTACCGAACCATCCTTAAAAAACATTAAGAAATGGGACAATAATGAGTTCTCCACAAATGTATCCGTGTTTGTCGTGTTCCTTGATCTTCACCGTGTTTGTTCACCCGTGTTGTCTAACAAACCTCTAAGGCCTTCACAGAACAGCTGTGTTTATACTGAGATTAAATTACACTCAGGCAGACTCTGTTTACTTCCTGGGAGATTGTCGTAGGAAATTGTTTGCGGCAGATTTTATTTAGGGGAATCAGCGTAAATGGATGTCGAACACAAACAGGGTCGAGACACTTTTCCAGCCAAACTTCAGTCGCTTGGAAATATCTGACACCAAACAGCACAGGCCACATCTTGAGCTTAAACAGCATGTTTTATTTGTCTGCTAGTGTTATGAGCACATCTTGTTCACATCCGACATGGTAGACGACCTCGTTCCTCTGCTTCAGATTATCATAACCACACTGCAATAAATATGCAAGCTGGAGATTATCACGAAAAGAAAAAAACAAAAACCTTTTTAGGTTAATCCACTTTGTGTTTTTACAGCTGCCTACACTGCAGACAGTTCATTCTTCGTTTGTGACATATCCATTTTTATCACTAGTGCAAAAAGAAAAACATTTTATTTTAGTGGGACTGTCAAACTTGGCATCCATCATGCTTTTCTGCATAGCGACACATGGAATATTATTATACAAAAGCTCCTTTCAAGAAACAATACATGGTGATTGTATTTAAGCCATGCAGTCATTGTTTATTCTAAAATAATCCAATTTTTTTCAGTTATGTCACGAAGGTAATGAACCTAAAAAACTAAAAGTGACTGACAGGGAAGCTGTCGACAGGAATAGCTGCAGAACTGAAAGAGGATGAGTGAATGCTTATTCACTTAACTCGTCACTAATGGGCTCATGGAGGACTAACAGCTGAGCCACTTGCTGTCAGTTGGGTTTTTTCCCCCCCACCACTGAGCCGAACGCAAATAAATACAGTACTGAACATAGACACCCAGGGTCACACACATGTGCACGCAAACACACAGATGACGCATCATCTGCTTCTGTGCAAATATATTAGTTTAAATAGCTGCTGTGCAAATTTATTTCTTACAGATGCATCTCAAGAAATCAGAATATCAAAGTTACTTTTTGTAATTTAATTCAAACTTTCAAAACTACATAAAGATCCATTGCACATAAAGTGAATTCATTCACCTGTTTGTTTCTAATCATTTTGAATATTATTCCTTACAGATAATGAAAACAGAAAATCGAACTTTTCATAAAAAAATTTGAATATTACATAGTACCTATTTAAAAACATAGAAAATGTGTCAAAACTACACCAAGGAGCTGTTTGCAGTTTGTCTTATCCAGGAATGGTTAATGGGTGAATGGATTTTACCTTCTCAGATATTAAAGTTAAAACGATTTAGTGTAAAAGTTGTATTTATCTTTAATTATTCACATATTTTGGCTTTTTCTATAATGCCATAGTAACTACGGCCAAACACATCAACAGGTGTTTCTTTTTTTTCATTTTTTAAGAAAGTGACATATAATCACAGTCTTGTAGCTGAAAATATTAATGATGTATTAATCCTTTCTCTCCAAACAATAAAAAAAATCTGTATACGTAACAGTTTTCGTCAAATAGTGTATGTTTAGTTTTTCTGCACAATTCAAAAGACCTACAAGCACCATCAACTTAGAGATTTTGGTTTGTATGGCAAAAGGTTTGATGTATAAATGAGTGGAGAAGACTTTCGGCTGTATTCCTGCAGGTTTTGGAAAGTTCCATTTCCTCTTGTCATTTTGTACTTTTTTTGCTCCATTTTCCCACAAAGGAACAATAAAGGCTGTTGAAATGTCAACATTTAGCGAGAGGAAAATATTTAGTAAAACAGAGATGCAAACAACATTATTAGCTAGATGAAGTAAGTGAAGTAAGGCCGTTTTAGAATAAAAATTTGTGGATTGCAGCACTGATTAATTTATGCAACAGGAAAAAGACATTTTCCGATAATCTGAGGTTTGGGATTTTATTAACTACAATCTATTAGTGTCATAGTTAGCAGACATCCTGGAAGTTATGTGCAATAGATCTAAATATACAAATAAATGTCCTGTTTGAAGATATTGTTAATAGTTGAGATGCAGGTGTATAATACACTTAGGATGCTCCCTTACACCGACTTGTTTATTTGTGATTAGTATGAATTAACTGACAAAGATAATCCCTGAATAAAAGGTTTCAGAGATTTAGCCAGATTAAAGAAGGGAAGCAAGTAGCTGCCCTCTAGAATCAATCAGTGCATGAAAAGCAGCCATATCCTCCTCCCGACAGGACCACTGTTAACGAATGATCCCACCAGGAAGAGAGGAAGGAATCCACCAGCCTCCATTACCATTTCAGTCCCCCCTGAGGCCATCTTCCTCCTTAGAGGGGAAAAAAAGAAAAAAAGCAATCGGGTAGAGAGCAGTTCTACGACAAGTCAGCCAGCAGGGGTCAAGCTAGCCCTTCTCAGGAGCTGCAGAGGAGAAATGGACCCTTAATCTCCCCTGCTTCCTGTGGAGAGAGTTCAAGGCAATGCAGCAGGGTTTGGACAGCTAGTTCCCCGCTCATCAGTTCTCCACGTTCGCCCTGAGCGTGCGAGGCTTCAGTCTTTGATGCGGTCGGCAGTCCTGGCTCATGGCTCTTCGCTGAGCGGCTGGAGAGTTGAGCTGGGGGTTGGAGAGACACAGCGTCTGAGTTTTGATGACTCGCGGCATCACCCTGCTGCAGCTCAACGAGCGCCTGTCTTCTGAGCCAGACTGGGGCCCGAGGTGAGCCTCGCACAGCTCCAGCAGGGACACTACCTGCTCCCTCAGCATTAGGGATTTGAATCTTCGGGCTGCCAGGTAGAAAAAAGCTTCCAGGAATGCTTGCAGTCCCATCCCTGTAGGTCAGAAGGTAACGCTGATGTAAAAATGCAACAGCTTTACTAAGCAGACAAAGAAACCTTCAACAGTAACTCGCAGTACTCAGTAACTTTATTAAAAAGAAAAATCTAATTTTAATGTGATTTCAATTATTCAAAGGAGAAAGCATGCATATATATATTTATATATTAGCTCGCATCTCTGCTGTTCAATATTATGTCAAACCCTTTGCAACCAATCAGGGAGCACTTGCTGCTCTCCTATGACGTTTCGTAACATGGCAACATACAGAGAGAGCTTTCTTTTTCATAGTCCAAGGTCATGCCTCATAAGTCTAAAGACTGAGATGGGCATTAAAGAGGCTAATATTATCTGTTGTGAATTATTTGTGCTACTTTTTCCATACGCTATAGCTCATTAGCCCGTTGAAAGACCCCATGATGACATCTTGGCCTCATCTGAGGGCAGCTGCAATGGAATGACTCCTAAACAAGTTGCTACAGACACACAAAGAGGTTGCTCTTTCCTGTTTTCTGCAGCATTGAGATGCATTAATTTTACTCCGGTTTGGGCTAATTAAGGTGCTTAGACATTTATTTTTTTATCTATTGTTCTGACTTAAAATCACCATAAGACATCTGGTTAACCTTACTAGGAAGTTTTTTTTTTTTTATCTTTAGTGTAAAAAGTTTAGAGAAATGACCCCTGTTTTCTGATATGAGAAGTCATTGAGGAAAATTTCCAAGACACTACTAATCTAAAAAAAATTTCCAATTCCAAACATATTCTATTGGAGTTGATAGAGGCCTTACTAGAGGTAGAAATTATTCATTTGTAATCAAGGAAAATTCCTCTTCTCAAATACATTGCCTCGATTGTTATAAAGTTTCTTAAAGGGGAACGCTGTTTTTTTTTACATTGGCCCCTTGATCTTATGTTATAACATCATGTTCTACTCACCCATATGAGTTTTATGTCATTTGGAGCCGTTCTGAAGATATTCCGTTAGGTTATATCCAAGTATCATCTTTCTATGGGCAACGACTTGAAGGCACAAACTAAACTGCTCATAATGTGTCATTTATGGTACACCAGCATTCATAACATGTAGGCGAATCACTGTCCCCCAGACATCCGCGGTTATATTTTTAATATTTATATCTTTTAAAAACAAAGCGGCACGTGTATGACTTCCTCCACGTGCGCCGGCTTCTGTTCATTCATCCTGTCCGCTGAACTGCTGCTAGTTTTACTCACATGCCTGGAAGATGTCTAGTGCTACTACAACAGATGATCTCGCTCTCGAAATGGAATTGAACGATTCAGATTAGCTAGCCGAACGAATATAAGGGTTAGAGCGTAGCCGCCTGTGGCCGGGCTGCCTGTCACGACTCCAGTCCGGCACGCGGATGACGTCATACACACGTAAAATCAAGGGCCCAATGTAAAAAAATAAAAATAAATAGGCATTGCCCTTTAAGGCCGTGTTTTTTTTTTTTATGTTTTTGTGTGCCAAAAGGCTACAAAAATGTAATCATTTAATTTGAAGGGTTTTTTACACAGAGTTACCTATGGTGACACTAAAGGGTTGATAATTGTGCAATCTATATCATCTGCATATTTTTTACAACAGAAAAAAAGGAGCACCTTTTTCATCAACCCTCATTCTCTAATGCTAAGCTGCTTGCTTTAGTTCAGACTGTTTATTTCAGGTCAATATGCTGGTTTAACCTAAGTCTTTATTAGTAACAAGTATGTTAAAAAGGTCAAATAACATGAAACAAAGTTTAGACCATTCCAAGCAGAATAGTTCATCCATTTCTCTGTCATTAGACATTTTCTTTTTAAGTGAAAATCTGCTTCTTGATGTTCCTAACTCAGTGGCATTTCAATGAGATAACTGTAATTCCTAAAAAGAGCCCATGCAATGTCCACTGCTCAAAATAGAAAAGCTGAATGTAATAACCTTTAAGCTGACAGCTTAATTATTAACGTGGGTTGAAAGAATAGGAAAGTTTGATTCACACTTACAGGTACAGAGCATATTTAGGCTAAAAGTGAGTTTTCCTCCTGAAGCAAAGGGTAGCCTCTTTGCATGACTAACTGAAATACTTTATTATTTAGCTTTTTGCACCATAAATACCTAAAAAAATGCACCAATCAGAGTGTTACTTACATGAAATAAACCAAGTTGTCCTTTTGCATTTAAAAAGCTTCCTGGATGGGAAGTGAAACGTCTTAAAAACTTGGAAACAAAGTCCAGTGGATTTGTTTTGTTTTTTACTTTTTTTGGAAAACCAAGTTGTCTGATTTCAACTTTTGGGGATAGAATTAAATTTTAATTTAAAAGAAAATAATGATTACTGATTTGATTAATCAACTCTTGCCTTAGCAATTAGCAACTAGCGCTAATCCAGCATGTTTTTCCTGAAAATATTGACTTTTGCTTGAAAAGGGATTTCCAACAACCTGCTAGGTTTCCATAAATGAAAATGTTTGAGGCTCAATAGGATGAGCCTGTGCTGCTTTAGTGTGGTTTAACGCTTAGCCTTTTTTTTTGGTCACTTAGGGTACAGATGACAGCTCTGAGTTAAATCCCATTTCAAGTAAAGTCACCTCCTGGCAGATTGGTCCTTTTCAAACCCAAATTCTACTCATAACGACCAAAACTGCAAAAGCAATTGTAAAAAGCAATGATAGAAAAACAGTGTCCTCCTTAATACCTTCTGTTCTTTTTCTAATCCTAATTTCTAAACATCTCAATGACACTGAAAATAGCCAAATCTAGGACGTCTGTCCCTAGTAATAATTTCTTATCCAAGAACCCTGTTGCTGGCGTGACCCTCTAGCAACATGAATCTGTTCAGTCACCACTCCAAAATTTATTCCGGTTACCTATGGATACTTTTGACCAGCGTACCTTTAGTTTTATTTTAATTTGATCACATTCAGCTTTGAGGTTATAATGACTCTAACAAAACAAAAAAAAATCAAAAGGTCAGAAGACGAAGATCAGTGCAGGACTCATACCTCTTCAAATTCTCTATAAGGGCTCCTCAGACTTTACCAAACACACACAGCAACAATAATCTAAAATACACCCAGCTCAGTCTGATTGAATATATATAAACTAATGTGAAATTCAGCACACGCTCCCCTGCACGGACCCCTCCATCCCGGTTCATGTCGTATCCAACAATCTACTCTGTGTCGCCAACATTTCTAGGTGCAGCGCCTGAATAATTCATGTTGGGCCGGTCTCTGTGCTGTCATGCTGTGATCTCGCCTCATTTCAATTATGGGACAAGGGAGTCTGGCAGGGAATGACAAGTAATAATGGGAGAGCACATTATTTGCTCAGAGTCTCAAGCATGCCAGGGTCTCTGTTCTCCAAGCATGACAGGAGAAGACTTCTAGGCCTCGAGGTGCAAATGTGTGAGTATTAGTTACCTGCTTCTCTGGAATCAGGCAGGGCACATGACCATCGACGGGTTATGTCTATATACAGGATGTCCACTGAGGCCATGGTAAAGTTGCTGTTGCTTAGTTTACAAGTCCTGAAAACATAAAAAAAGAATGACAACGAAAATGATTTTATTCCACTACGATCTAACTTATACATCCTCATTAAACAATTGAAACATATCATTTTAGGATGCAACTAATAGTTTTACTAAGCAAATCTGTTCAAGAATTTGGCGAATGATTTATGGCCAAAGCTTTTTTTGTGTAAAGCTTTGGAAATCTTCATATAATAGAGGTGATACATGTGTTAAGAGTAGGGCTGCAACTCATTTTTTTGCTAATCGATTCATCTGTCGAATATTTTTTCTGATTAATCGATTAATAGTTAGAAAGCAAACTGTTCCTTAAATAATTATTTTTTATAGAAATAAACCAGGTGAAACTAAAACTTTTCTACTTGAGGAGTTCTGGAGAAATCCAATATATTATATATATATATATATATATATATATATATATATATATATATATATATATATATATATATATATATATATATATATATATATATATATATATATATATATATATATATATATATATATACATTTTTTTTTTTTTACTATTTTGGTATAATTACTGCTCTAAGTAGGTTGGTCTTAGATTCATCAATTACTAAATTAGTTAATTGATTTCAATAATCTATTCATCACAATCTATTGTTTCAGCCCTATTTAAGAGCAAATATTAGATCAAAGGACAGGCATTTCGAACTGCTTTAATAAGTGATTAGCACAAATAGCTAATACCAGTAGATGATATAAATTCAATAACAGACCAGTACAAATTGTACCCAACATTTATAAACCTAGCATTTGAAATGATGAAAGTTTAAACCACAAGAAAACATTTTTTCTGTCTTCAGCCTTCCTGTTATCTACAGAAAATATTACTCTCTCTCACTAAATAAGCAGCCTCTTGGCATAAAATGAACAAAATACAGTTTCACTTTAAAAAACCTATTGTGCCGTTTCCTCTGATTAATTTAATTGAAAAAATCATTTTTAAATTCCAACTGGCTTGTCAGCCATGAAGACTAATCAAGCTACATTTACATTACATTACATTAGCTTAATATCTGTGTTGTTTTATCTGTATTCAAAGTCAAATGAAGAAACAATGACACATCTTTCATGGATTCATACGCATCACCAAGCCTGAGCTGAGCTGAGACAGCGTAGGATGCCAAAGATTGACAGACAAGAGCGAGGGCCACTGCTGCGCTGCCATTGCTTCCAAAGTTTACATTAACCCAGTAAGCTAAATGTACTTGTTAACCCAAATAGTAAGCAATGAACATGTCTGGCACATCTTTTCATAAGCTCTGCAACAGAATAATAATAAAAACACAACTTTAAAAGAGGAGCTTGTTTAGTGTGAGGCTATTGTGGTGTAGCAGAATCCTCATAAGTAGGGACTGATTTTTTTATGCTGCATCAGAAAGGAAAATAAACCACAGAGAGCTAAGAACTTTGTCCAAAGCAGGACAAAGGCTTAAAAAGGCTTGGGCACTATGTTACGAAGAAGGTTATTACTTTTAATAAGAGAGCTGGCATTCTGCAAACTGTTTTGCAAACACACGGGCTTGCAACCTGTGCATGCACACTGAGATAATGACAATGAGGTTTGCCCTGTTTTATTTTTGTTACAGAGCTTCATTGTTGAATAAAGTCATGTGTTTCAGGGTTTTTTTTTTGTTTTTCAACATGAAAAAATATGTTATTGATTCAATTCAGTTTATATATATAGTGACAATTTACAACGCATTTTATCGCAAGGCACTTTACAGAGAATATTCAATCAGATCAACTCTTAGATTGGTAACTCTTGTATACCCATGGAAAGTCTGCTGATTGCATTGAGTCATTGACTTTGCAGGATTCGCTCCTCCTGGATGAGCATTGCTCGCACCATGTCATTGACTCTACGGCAATCCCTCATGCAAGCATGCATGCAGTGACAGTGGAGGAAAAAAACTCCCTTTTAACAGGAAGAAAACCTCAAACAGAACCAGAGTCAGTGTGAGCGGCCATCTGCGGAGGCCGATTGAATGCTCAAGGAGGTAGAAGCAGATAGACCAAAAGGAGCATAGAAGCACTAATGGTAATAGTAATTTAGCTCCATAGGCAGCTTTGTCTATGAAAGGAACAGTTAACCAGATCAGCCCTCAGAGAGTCTAGATGTCAAAGGGATGAAAGAAAGCACATAGTTAGTCACAGTAAAAGCTTAGCTCATAGTTATGCCATTCATCGCAATAAATTATTTGTGCTATAGCATGTTAGAGGGATTTCACAATTGTTAAAAGGTCTTTAATGGAAAATCTTTAGAAATTTACCAATTCAATTATCCTCCAGCCTTTAATTCCCCAGAGCTCATAAACTAATTTAGGCCATAAAACAAAAATGAAAATGAAAATACCACAATTGTTGAGATATTTTTACAGGAGTTCATGGATGCATGGATGGATGGCGATTTTCTAAATTCTAATTTTTAAAACTGCATTAAGTCTAATACAGTAACATGTGGTGCAATATGTAGTGAAGTATACTAAATGAAATAACAGCTTAACCTTTAACACAGATGAAATACATCATGCTTATACCCAATTCTTACTTTTTTTCTTTTATATTAAATACATGACATCTTAATCAGACAGCAAAGCTTAGACTATATACTGCACTGCAAGTATAAATGTTGGCTTGAAATAAAGGCTGAAAAAAGGGTGAACCAGTGTTTTGCTGCAGTTCCTAAATTAATAAAAGCCTCCCTGGTTTCAGAACTTTAAAACGGAATCTTTAAATAACAGATTGGATAAGATGCTCCCTACTTCAGATAGAATCTAGGTATGAAGCCTTTTCTTTTAACTCGTTTAGTTGGCATGCAGACTCTTTGCTACTAACATATGCAAAGCACCAAAAGTCTGGATAAGAGCAAATTTAATCAGGGAATCACTGTGTCTTCATCCTTTTAGTCTCCGTGCAATAAAATGATGCCTGCTTATTTCATATAAGACAGAATAATTATTAGGATGTAAGAGAAACTACAGACTTTTGTACCTGATGAATGTTCGGAAGGCAGTGGGACCAAGGCGCATGTTGCCCTTTACCCCGAGGAAGCGTATGAAGAGAGCAGCAATGCGCTCCACCAACCGCAGGTGGTTGAACTGTTTGGTGTATTTGGGGTAGACTTGCTTCAAGCACAGAGGAGGCAGATTCCCAGAATTATCTGGACACCTCCCTTGTTGTTCCCCGTCCACTTGGATCTCTTCCCCTTGAGCAGACCCACTTGCCTTTGGTTGGGAAGACCTAATGTAAATATCAAAATAAAAACAAAGAGAAATGTTAATTATTCGTTTTCAAAAGTATGCATTTGTAGTAGACCGCTGGGTACCTGCTACTGAAAAAAAAAAAATGTCCATCACCATTTAGAAAATGGCACAGACATTGATTTTTTTTTTTTTTTTTTTTGCTTTCTTTGAAGCTCTCGACAGTTAAGGAGTAAATTTGTAAATATTCTATAAAATACTCTAAATCCAACTTTTCCAAAAAGGCTGCTTGCTTCACTGCAGGAACACATGAGCTAAAGTTTATTACAGTAACATTAATACCAGTTCTGATGGCGATAAATTAATAACTTAAATTTGAAGAGAATTTGTATATTTCTTTTATCCACAAAGTACCATTGGATGAACCAGGCTTGCAGATGTTCCATTTTAAAATCTAAAGTGTTTTTTGAATTAGAGAACAACAATCGTTCAGTTTGGTATATATACAATTCCTTGATTCACATATTTTTATAAAACACCTGAACTGACTTTTTTGTTTTTCTTTTTTTTTTTATGGCTTAATCAGAGCCGTGGGCCTTACACTGCCCTGCAAGGCTTTTACAACTAGGTTTGATTGGAGAAAAAAGCCATTCTAAAGCACATATCAAGGTGCTCATTCAAAAGCCTGGATCGATATTTATTTTTGATTATGTTCATGGTGGAGAATCCTAGCCTCGTGAGACCATCCTGATCTCGCGAGCTTTCAAGATTTCACTCGCTAATCAGTCTGGAGACTCTCCGTTGAAGAAAATTTGGAGCCGTTCACCTAACGAATGTCCAATCAGCGTTGGCTTTGAGGCGGGTTGAGGTGTGACGCAACGAGAAGCGTGACAGTTCAGTCTAAAGAACATGGCCGCTTCAGCCGATGAAACTAGCGTTAGCGTGGCTATCGTGCAAGTTTTATCGGAATTACAGAGTATTTCTTCCCTGAAAGAAGAGCAAAACACTGCTCTGGAGGCTTTTCTCAGAGGAAAATATGTTTGCTCTTCTCCCGACTGGTTTCGGCAAAAGTAGCCTGGCTTGTGGTTGTGTTTTCGTCGTCGGTCTGTTAGTACGTCATAAGCTTCGTTGATCTGATTGGTTTATTTGGCCCGTCTATCACCAACATAGGCCAATCAGCTAACCAGTATTTTCGCCCCTTCCCAAAATTACTGCAACGGAAGGTTTCCAGATGGATATGCGCAGAAAATCCATCTGGCGGAGTCAGGTTAGGAGAATCCTGCTTCAAAGCAGTAGGTTGAGCCAAACAGTGAAAATTTGCATGGTCATCGTTGAGCACGCATTCCACTTTTCTGTCACCAGTTCACCGCAGTTCTTCTAGCAGTCCACACTTTCTGCTCTCTTTTTCTCTTCATCTTCTCCTTCTTTCCCATCGCCTGGCTTGCACAGATTTGCCTGCTGTGTCTAAAAGTAGCTGACTGACAGCTCATTGGCTAATTTGTATCACCTGTAGCCTGGTCCCGGACGCTCCGGAGGGCTTTATCATATTAACAGGAGCAGTGAAGTTAGACACAGTCGTCGTACAACATGTAGTAATTTATAAGTGTTTTAAATCAGGTTGAGTCCGGATTAGCAAGCAGGTGGGTCCGGATCCGGACCGCGGTACACTAATCCGTGACCTCGCTCTGCGCTACAGTCTATTCCTGGCAGTTGCTACTGTAAGCATAACATTTTTGCTCATCTTTGCTTCTTACCTATATGAGTTTTATGTTGCCTAATCAACATCCTCTCATTCCAAACCCAGCTTGTAGCTCCTCTGTCTGTGTTTAACTGTTTTATTCAATAACAGCATGAGTGACATTAACACAGCATTTCATAAAGTTTGATAGAATCAATCTAAATAAATCATGAAAATATTAAGGATGACATTTTCTGTGGTAACCTGTGATCATTTCAAAGTGCATGAATCCTTTGGCAAAGGCAATGAAAAAATACCCTGTACTCAGCTTACCTTCATTCCTTGTATGTAAAGAATAACGTACGGTAATAATGGGACATTTTAGAGCCACATTGCCTTCAAATAAAAGTCATAAATCACTTTCAAAGACAGAGTGTTGTGGATTAATGGGCTGGGTTTCTAGACTACATATCTAAAGTCCCATAAATAATTTCCGGTTATCTCCCAAAACAGTACTTTTTTATCTTCTCTTTTGTTTAATCGTTTTATTTTAATAACAGCAACAGGTACGTCTGGCCTTTATTGCTTTTCATCTTACAAGTGAAATCTCTATAAACATGAACTTTGACTAAACCTTCTGTAAATCAATCAATTTCTCCAAATAACAGCAGAGCAGATGATTTTTTCCTCAGTGAGCAACTTTTTTTTGCAATGCATTTTTTACTAGTTAAAAACAACAAATAAATGGTCTAAAGCTGAAATAAAAGTGTTTAAAATTTTGCTTAATAACTTTTGTATTATTAACTTCTTAATATTTTGTCCATTCTCATAATAAAAAGGTTAACAGCTCTCAGTCAAATAAATATAATTTACATCACACTGTCTAACCGTGCACCTATTAATCTACTACATTATTTTCTGATCTAAAAATCAATCATTCCCCATTTGAATTGTTGAACTGCATCACGATTACAACATTTGAAACATATCATCCCTTCCCTCTCACCCAGTTAGATTTAGCCTTTTGGTCGACATGTAAAATTTCTCAAACAAAACTTCTAATCGGAATTATTAAACTGGAACATTTGGCTGGTGACTATTATCTCTAGATTAATGGAATATTATAATCTTGGACTAATAAAACAAGATCACTGAACTGAACTTGCAAGTTTTTAGAGGGAAAAATTAAGGAATTGAAAAATCATCCCTTTCTATGAATGAGGATATATGTTCTCAAACTTCAAAGCATTAAAGTACACAAAGTCTGTGGTTAGATCAGGAACTTGGAAATGGTGGAAATACAACACCTTGATATGATAGGAATTAATAAGATAAAACATCTGATTTTTCAGGATGTCACCTTCCAAGGTTGGATCGGATCAGATGAAGTTGAAAAAAATAAAATCAGCCAAATCTGATCTAATGCTGCTCGATTAGTGCATCTCTAGAAAATATTCATTTTCCTAATTTGTTGGCTTTTTCATTAGGGCTGAATGATTGATTACAAATTGCTTTAAACAATATTGGGATTGTAAGTTTATTTAGATTTTCCTTTGCACTAACCACAAACATGTTGATGTTTCACTCCAAGGTTTTATGCTTTTCATAACCCTGAAGGCTACTTCTCCAGAGTAAGCCTATTAGTGCCACCTAATGGGCTGAAGTGAAACAATTAGCGTCTTATTGTTGTTAAATACAATTTGGAGATTCAATTTAAAATTAAATGTTTTCTTTATTGTGAATACATTGCAAATGCAATTAATTATCCCGCCCATTTAACCACTTAGGGGAGTGGCGGCCTAGTGGTTAGGGCAGAGGGCTTGGAAACCCACTCCCATAGACTACCACTCTGGGAGCACGACCCTTAATGCCTGATTGCTCCCCACCATGGCAGCCCACTGCTCCCCAAGAGGATGGGTTAAATGCTGAGGTAAATTTCTCCAATGTCAGATCAATAAAGTTTAATTATTATTTATATTCTTGGTCAATGGTTCAGTGATGAAGGCTCAGCAGAGAATTCAAAATAAACAAAAAGTAATCTATAAATCCAAACTAAGCCTTGCCTATTTACCAGCATCAAGGTAAATCAGACTTTAAATAAAGGTCTTGAAGATTTTCAAGCAGATCATCCTTTGAATGAGAGTCAAGAAAACTGGAGTTTTGCCCCACTATATAAAGCAAACAATAAAAAAGCAACAAGCTAAAAGAGGCTGCTATAAATTCCCTTTGCCAAGGGAAAACAAACTCATCAGGGGACGTGGATTTATACTCCAAAATTTGGAATTGGTACTCGTACTGCTGCAAATGTTTAAGTTTGGAATCTTTATTCCCAACACTTACATGTATGGAACTCAGCTCAGAGTATTAAGTTAAAAGTTCACTTTTCTGTTGCCGTTGTTCTATAAAAGTACATTTTTAAGATCATTTGAGGCAAGAATGTTATACTTTTAAGCACCCATATTTGGCCCATTTTTTGATGTCGAGAGGAACGTGGAAACCAGCGGTCCTCTGCAGCAGCCCTCTCTCAGCATAGCCGTGTAAATTTGATTTCTGTTTATCTGACTGTGTTAATTATTATTCCCCCACTAAAAGAAAAAGGTAAGAATTTCATTATCTACCGACTATTAATAAAAGGAGGTGAAATGCAGCTACAGACAAGCCGAGTGTGTGGTGATGTCACAAGTACGCTTCTGTTTGACCCATATTTATGGTGCATGCTCCCGTTTTCCCCAAGTCCAGACTTTCCTGGTAAGAACATACTTGGCGAGGACGATACTCCATACTCACAAACTTGTGAATTGGGAAACGGTCATTCACACTTTCACACGCTGATCAGGGCTAGCTACACTGTAGCCACAGCTACTCTCAGGCTCACAGACATAAGCCAGGCTGCCGTACACAGGTGCCACCATCAGTAAGCAGAGCAGCTGTCCTGTCTTGCAGAATAACAGACCTGGGGTTCAAACCGGCAAACTTCTGGTTGTGGGAATAACTGCCGCATTCTACGCCACTGAAGCCAAGTTTTAATGGTTCATAAAGATTTAGGGCTTGTTGATAAACAGCTGGCTGAACAGATTGATTCTTGTCTGAGCAAGTTTAACATTCAATCCAAGCCTAATGTCAAAAAAGTTAAAATCATGTTTTTCGTCTTTGTTCTTCACATTTAATCAGTTCATGTATATGACCTGAATAACAACACCTTAATGTATTTGGCAGGAACTTGTTGCAAAACATTTAGTAGGTTTAAATATTTAAAATTGCCATTCATCATGTGCCGTACAAAAGAAACTCAAGAACAGAAGAGAAAAGTTTGATGTGTCATTTTCTGTTGGGTGCTTTGAGCCAACCCATAAAGTAAAGCAGACTTTAGATTAAAAATATTAAAGACTTTATTTGAAGACTATTTTGCATTTATGTGGACTAGCTTTGACATTACAAACATTTAGGATGAAAAGGCCATCTTTAATAGTGTCTTTTTTCCCCACCACACAGTAGATAACTATCTGTCACAGTAAAATATTGTAATGATGAATTCTGTTTTACATCATTTGCTTTGAAAAGGGTTTATTTGAACTCTAAAAGTCCTAAAAGAAGTGTAAATGCTCAATCTGCAAGGAAAATGTTAGGACTTTAAATTATCTCCCTCTGAGGGCCAGAAGACCACCTATAAATGATAATGGGCGTCAGACTAAAGGATGTTTAACAGAATGCAGACAGAAATTAGCTCAACATAAATTTAAGTGGGCATTTATCACTTCTCTTGGATGTGAAGAAAAGATCAAATATTGCCGCTAATCTAGAAATAAAACTTAAAGCAGAAGGAATGGAATCATACTAACAGAGGGAAGATAAAGACATAAGACGAGTGAAGACAGACAGAGTAAATCTGCTTCCTAAAATGAAATATATAGGGTGGGGTGGGGGGGTCACTCTCTAATTAAGAGGGAGATATATTTCCAGGCATCACACAGAGCCAGTCTAGCAGAGTGATTGAGCTTCTACACTCACACAGTGATGTGCGAGTTTCCTTCATGCCTCACTTGATTTAATTTTTTCCATTTAACAAGCTTAGAGAGAGTTGCTGAGTGGTGCAGAGAGGAGAGGGTGGGCAGAGTGAGATATCATGTTCTTAAAGTGGACATGCAGACAGAGTGTGGGGGGGTGGGGGGCTGACACATAATCCAACTTCAAAGGGTGTGCTCAAGCTAAGGTGTGCATGCTTACGCCGTTGATTTCTTGTTACAGGGATCCATGAGGCGCAGCGTGTCCCTGATCACCCCCACTTTCACCTGTTCGTCCACCGGACTGGGAACGTACTGGAAAACTCCCGGCGCCACCTGAGACAAAACAAGCACTTAGTAAAGCGGGGGAAGATAACAGAGTGAGGATGCTGATGGAAGCCGACGTCTTACTTCCTGCTCGTGTTCTATTCGCATGCTGGGGTTGGAGTTGACCTCTAATAATACCGGCTTCAGGTTCTTCATCAGAAGGATGTCAAAACCTAGTATCTGATAGAAAAAAAAAACATAACAATGATCACAAACATGAAGCTTTTGAAGCATTTTTTAGACATTCAGGAAACTTTGTTAGTACTCATGCAATGAGATGTGTTCATAATGTAACTCGCCAGGGAAAGGAGCAGTAGGCAACATAGTCCATCCATAAAATAAAGAAGAATAAAAGCCTCAAAGGTAATAGCTGGAAGAGAAGCAATGGCACTGAAAGTGCTGTATGTGGTTTTGGTTTTCCGTGAATGGGATACCTTCCAGCTTTCTTCCACATGCTTGCGGTGTGCGTTACAGATCTTTTGACAAAGATGATTGCTGTTCTTGTGCTCCTCATCCATAAAGGACAGATTTGTGCTGTGCACAAACTTGCCCCCACTTCCTCACCGCCTCAGTCGTATCTAGACCCACAGCTAGTTCGTGATTGTTCCTCTTGCGTTGTGACATGGAATAACATAGCTCAGACCACGCCTCAAAATGGGGCATAAATTAAAAATATCTGCTTCATACCTGCAACAAACTCACTGCGACACACTGCTGTGGGAACATAACCAGCCCTTTAAACCCCACCTATTTAGCTCCGCTTTTACCAACTATTTCTTCTTCTATTCTATGTGAACTTATTATTGTGCAACTTTTTCCACTCTTTATTGGGGTTCTTATTTCTTATTTTGATTTGTTGCACTCATTGAGATATTTTATCACCGTCCTTTCATCCTTTTTGTTTAAATTAAAACTATTAGTATGTCCTCAAGTGTTTCCTTTGCAGAAGCTCTCTGTATAGAGGCTGGTGATCAGCTGCAGCTCTCTGGGCAATAAGTGTTTTCTCTGCCTCCTCAGCACCCAGCCTTTCTATTAGCTTCTTAGTATCATCATGTTGGTTTGTTTGCTTGTGTGCTTTGTGTGTGTGTTAGAGTTGGTATAATGGCTAGGGGGTAACGTTTTAACTCTTGGAATCCCTTTGTACTACATGAATTGTATTAAAAGCACTTTATAAATTTGCCTGGATTTGGCTTATAGTTCACATATTTTCCAACGTGAACCATGGATCTTTACAGCTTTTCAAGGGTTGACCTCTCATCTCAATCTGGCACCAAATTTGTGATTATGAAAATAATAAATAAATAAATAACTCTAAGAAAGCCAGCACTTTTAATTCTTTGTAAAAACTCCATCTTGGGTAAGGTGATTGATCTGCAAACATTCAAACATTTTAAGGATTGTCACTTGCTGCTATCATGTTTAATCATGTTCACTGTTTAGGATTATAGTTCATTGAACAAATCTACACTCTGTGATTCTTTAAACAGATTCATATGTACAATACTTTTAAATGTTTTATTTTTGTTCCCCATTAGAATATTAGAAGCCTGAAAGTCACTATTTAATAACCACACTACTGTCACACCCACCTGGAAACATGTGGGTCCTGGTTTCCCAGGTGGAATATCAGCCTGGTAGTAGACTTTAAGCTCAGGCACCACAGCGATGACGGACTTGATAACGAGAGCGATGATGTCCGACCAGACCCGCTTGATATCCACGCCTTTAACTGCCAGCCGGTAGAGCACGCTGGAAAGCGTACGCTTGCTGCCTGTGCTCTGGCTGTCGGAGTGCACAAAGTTACAGCTGTGGACATTGAGTGAGTAGTTGGTCAGGTGCATGAAGACATGGGTCAAGTTCTTCTGACATGGCTCCTGCAAACAAAAAGAATAAGTAAAAGATTTAGTTAAGAATGGATAAACTTGAAAGCGAATCCATCAGGATGTGTTAAAAAGCTACCTGGTAAGGTTCAGTGCAGAAACGTGTCAGGCCTTCTTTGGCGATGTAGATCTCAAGAGGCTCCAGGGATTTTATCAGCACATATAGGCGGATGTCGAATTTCAGCTTGTCGATGAGCAGTGGTTTATTGATGTATTCCTGAACTACGGCCTGTTTGGGCTGCGAACCCACCATGAGCTTTAGATCGCTGGGGTCTCTGATGAGGTAGATGCCGTCCCCCTGAGAGCCCCCGTCTGGCTTAACAATAAAAGTTGGGCTTACTGAGGTATCACTCTCCTTCGCCATGCGGATCTGCAGCAGGGGAGCACATGAACAGAAAAAAAATGCTAATTTGATTTAATCCTTTTCTTAATTAGAGAAAGGTTTGTATTAACCAGAAAAACATTAAATCACGTAATTGGACTTTGTCCAGTACAGCAAGCTAAACCAGAAAGTTATAATCAAATCTTAGTTTAATCTCATTCCTGGTGGGATTAAGAGTCAGAGAAGCTTGATCCGCACTGCAGTCTTCTAAATGTTTCCCTGAGTTAACATGCAAAGGGCTTCCTATCCCATCACATGTTATGTAATGTTGCTCTGCCGCAGTACGGAGAAACAGTAGATCTAAATAGATTTCTGAATATTTGAAGGAAGGCAGGAAAAAAAACTTAAGGGCCTTGGAATTTAAAACATTGATATTGTGGCGCCCCCTGCTGTAATAAAAATGTTATTACCTCCCCCTGCTCTTTACTGCCAACAATAGGATTAAAACAATTGTTCTTGAAATTAAAGGTATTTACTTGTGTAGAGCTTCTTTTGAGAGTGAAAATATTCATTCCATTGGCAGATCATCTTATTTACCTGCTCAAATGTTTTGATAATTTTTTTAAATGTCATTTTTTAGCTTAACAAAAAATAAGAATGTGCAAGTTCTGCTTTTCTCTGCAAGTATAAGAAAGGACAATGTGATGTTTTGTGATTTTATTTTGTCTAAATCCCTGTCTGACTCAATTTTGAAACAGTTTTGGAGAAATGTCCAGGTTTTTAAATTTCCCTGAGATCAAGATTAACGAATGCTGGCTAAGTATGGAGTCATTAAAAGAATAATTAGACCACCCCCCGTTCTCTTTGTCCTGTTCCTTGTATTATTTAGATAATATATCTTAGACAAAGAAATTGAAGAAAGCAAGGGTAGTGTAATATTTTTTCTACACATTCTTAAAACTTCCTCTAAAGGGACGACTCTAAAACAGAACAGAACTTTTAACACAAATCTAAATAAGGCTGAAAAATGGCTACAGAGATCTGCACTGATCTAGGTGGAAAAACTAAGCAGCATTTGTATTTATTCAGTTATTATTTTTAGGTAAATCAAATATGAATGAATATCCCATATATGAAACATTATAAAAACTTTGCATTTCAGAACGACACCTATAAACCTTTCACTTGGTTGTTTTTCTTATGAGGAGCAGGAACAGTACCTGTGCAGAAAACTGCTGGTATTCCTCGGGCAGGATCCAGGAACGCGGATAGAAGTCGTATTCCTCTGGGAAGAGATCTTGCATAGTACGCACCGCTCTACTCAAGTTGATCTTCCTCAGCATTTCTACCATTCCTGCAAAGACACCATTTACAGATTGTTCTGCAAAGCTGAGATAACCTGCAGCTCATTGCACCCCACAGCCTTACTGGCACCCCTGTTTTTGGTACTTTATGTTACTAAAGAAGCCAATGACAGCCCATTAGGTTTTTCCTAGAACAGACAATCGAATGTTTCTAAAAGAAAAACTCCTGTTTGGTTTGTTTGAGCTTTTTAAGACACACAAAGGTTCACATGTTCTTAGGAAGGAAAGCTGGCCCTTCAAAATCAAATCTTCACCAACATATTTTACAGCAGTTCAAAAGTTCATTCCTGCTTAATGCCGGTCCATTTCCAGCCTTTTCTGTAAGGAGTTCCAGCTGTTCTAATGATTGCTCTGATTGTGCATTTAGGCAAGTTCAGACAGGCAGCCATTTTCTTTTATATTCCAATTTAAGAAGAACAACACATATCTGTCTGAATGCCATCTTCTGTTGTCTTTTAAAAAGTGGCAGGTAGGAATGGGCTAATGCATCCTTTCTTTCATATGCTAGAGGGAAACAGGAAGTTATGGATTAATAATTACAATCCTAAATGATCTAACAAATTAATACATTTAAGTGACAATAGAAAAAAACTTAAGTGAGATTTATTGTATAGGACATGTATGCTAGCACATTTTTAGCTTGCTGTACTCCATTTAACAGGGATTTCTGTTAAATCTGTCAAAATTTCTGCATGAAGCAAGCCACAGGATGCCACTTGTGGAAATGGCATATTCAAAAGCAGCTTTCATCATCTTTTTAATGATGGGGGATTATATTGTTCAGTAATAACCAAAAGGTCAAAACTAAAACTCGAAGTAAATGTGATTTACCAAAATACTCCAATTTAGACATCATTTAGGTTATAAATCTAATTTGTTTCATGAACTGTTGTGCTCCCCAAGCTTCATCAACAAAATAACTAGAGGAACAAACACTAGCCTTCATCCATAGTTTGCTTCGTTTATAAACTCTCAGCTGTAACTACAATGATAAAAGTAATGTTGGGTAGACAGTAGAGGAGGAAAGTGTATAGACTAAAATACCTGGAAACTTGTTGACTTGTCCTGACACAATGTTTTCGTTGTCATGGAAGGAAACACCGTGCCAGTAGATATCGCAGGCTGCACGTCTCCCCAAAGGAAACTGAGGAGAGGAAGAGGGAGGCGCAAGGAAGAACAGATTATTAGATTCCCACAACAAACAGGGAAACTGATAAGAATAGAAACAAGTTTGGGTAGGGCGACAGTCATTCTTGTGTCTATTCCAAGAGGTTCAATTATATATCAAGATGTTTCACTATATCTGTAAGTTATGGCTGATTGGTGTCTTGAACCCACTTTTTTCCCGCCAACTCTGCATGGCAAAGGTGTCGATACTTTATTCACATGTTTTATGTTGAAAAAACAAACTTGAAGGTATAAAATAGAAGCGGAAGGAATGAGAGATTTAAGTTGGCACTCAGCAGAACCAAGCTAGTTACATCTGGTTTAGGGAAGCTTCTCTATCATCCCAAGAAGCATGATGCTGCCACTACCATGTCTCATCATGGGGCCTGTGAGTTTAGGGCCGGGGTCTCCAAGCTGTTACAAGCTACCAGAAGCTCTCAAGGTGCTTTCAAGATGCTCTATAAAATGTCATCAATAAAAATGTAATTTCTCACTTTGTGAAATCTTCAAAGGTTTTAGCCAATTACAAGTTTCCTGTCCTGTTTCCTGTACATAGAATTAAATAATATTTGTCAGTAATCTGTCAATCAATCATTGCTCTGCTCAGCTCTCTGTGCTTAGTAGGATGTGAGGGAGGTCTAATTTATCTGCATCTCAAACGTGTGACACCCAACCCTCTTCTGGCTGGCAGAAGGATAAACCTGGACTAGAGCAGCATCGTGTTGATGACAGCTGCGTGACACGGTGTAAAAGGGAACCCTGCATGACTGCAAAGACCTGCTATAAATACTGCTGCACGCATGCAAGTGTGCAAAGGGAAAGGAAGGGGGATTATTTGGAGTAGTTTCTTGGTATTATATCCTGACACAGCTTTCTTTTTTTGAAGTCCATTTGTTGCTAAATTCTTAAATCTATTTATCCATTTAGATTCCCCTTTCCTTCAAAGTTCAGGAAAACATTTCTTGATTTATAAGTTTTTCCCCCAGGTTTCAAAAGTCATGTAGCGCAAAACATTCTTAAATGTTTGGTCTTTCAGAGACTCCAAAACTTTTTTTAAACACTAAAAAAAATGACAATAGAGCCAAAGATTATATGCATTTCTGCAACCCAGACCCTCTGGCTCCTGCTATCTCTGCCTCGAAGAGGACTCAAACTTTATTGGATTAGGAGAGCTTAAGGCTAGTGATTTCTCTCTGTGCAAGAGAAAGCCATTAGTGGAAAATCAGCAGGCAGATGTAGAAACAGTTGTTTTAGCTCTGTAACTCGTACTCCGTCAAGATGCAATCAATGTTACAGAATCCATCCTCTTCATGCTTATTTCAGAATGGGTGAACAAACAGAGCAGAGCTGCTAAAGTTTCAACCCCTTCAAAGGATGATGACAAGGCCTTCGGCGGTGACAGCAGTTCACTAAGTTAGGGGTGCGTTGCGCTGACAAAGTGTTGCCACGCGTCAGCATTGTGTCAATCGTTATGGATACCGGACCTAACACGGTTCAAGTGTCACCGTTTGGTCAGTGTTGATAACTGCAGCCTCTGCTTTCCATCTCATGGAGGAGACGATCGTTCTATGAATAATGGAGGTGGTGTACTTACCAGCTTTTAGGAGGAAAACTGAAAAAGGATCTTGGAAAAAACAAAAGGAGGAAGCAGCTGTCTCAGGGTTTTGTCACATGATAAAATAGGTGAAATAAAATCTCAGTTTCATCTGAGTCATTATCAGGAACTTAAAAGGAAGGACAATTATACTAACGGCTGCAACTAAAAGGTTTCTTGTCTGAATAATTCCAGCTTTTTTGTAAAAGCACAACTGCAAACCTAGCAAAGGTGTGGGAACAAGAAAATTATTCAGAGGTGAGAAGAAGGGATACCTCCATGTACACCAGATGGGAGAAACTGCAGATAGATTGGCCTTGCCAAAACTGGACTTTATGGAAAAGAAGAACGATATAGTGGAAAAAATAATAGAAAATGTGCAAGAAGGTGCTCTGAGGTGAGGCTGAAACTAACGCAAAAGAGCATGAACACAAAATCCAATGGGGAGCATCATGCTTCGAAGAATGGAACAGGTTAGTAGAGATGATGGGAAGGAAGGTGGATCTAAATAAATAATTTTTTTGTTGGATCAAGCTTCATTTTGTAAAGAAGTTCAAGGCAATGCCCTTAAGAAGAGGGAAGTACTTTTTTTTTTTGTTACTCAAAAAAAAAAGTGCAGACAAAGGAGCAAATAACACTGGTTTCAAAATTAATCTGGTATCGGTGCAACACTACCCTTAACCCCTGATTGCTCCCTGGGCGCCCAACAATGGCAGCCTTCTGCTCCAAAAGGGGATGGGTTAAATGGAGAGGTAAATTTCTCCAATGCAAGATGAATAAAGTTCAATTATTATTAGGAGCTGGTTATAATTCAATTAAGAGCAGAAGCTGCCACATGTCTTCCCTAATTCACAAGTTTCTGCAGAGACTTAAAACCTGCACAGCACATGGACAGAAAAAACATAATATTTTTCCAACAGCACCTCTTTCCACTTCAGCTCCTTGATGCTAATCTTCAGGGCTTCCAGGGAGGTTTTGGCTTTAGATGTATCCACCGTCACAGGTCTTCTCTTCCTGGGAAGCTTGCATCCATCCTCGCAGCGTGTTTCCTGTGTGTTCCTGGATTCATGGAGGCCTAAATAGTTCCCGTTACTCTCAGACTTCCCCTGCAGGATCTTCCCTGTCCCCTTGATATGCAGTGTTTGCTCGCAAACAGGGCTGTTAAAGTTCTTTACAGCATACGCAGGAACTGCAACCCCCTGCAAAGGCTTTCCACTGGAATCCTTGCTGCTTTTTTCCCCCCTCTGTTTGGAAACAGACGCATCCGTCCCTGTGGAGGTGATGCAGCTGGATGGGTCTGGTGAAGCAGAGGGAGAAGAAGCGGGCATCTCATCCTCTGGATCCGTTTCCTCCTTCCCTGCATCCTCGCCTAGTGATTTCATCTGGCACAGCTGAACCTTGACATTTCCATCACGGTCAGTCATTGTGGGGAACGCGATGAGTGACGCCGCAGAAGCTCCATGGAGTGCAGTAATCCGAAGCCAGGGACCTGACCACAAACAATGTCGTCCGCATTGCTATCTTGACCAAACAAGAACAAAAAAACAACACTGGTAACTCTCACCGTGTCCTTTATTTACGGGAAAAACTAAAAGAGTGAAGCCTCCTGTCTCTGGTGAGCTAATTATGATCATATAAAAGAAGCTGCTAGCTGCTGGAGGAATCTACCGTTAGCCTGTTAAACTTCATGTCCCGAAGCTATTCTTTAAACTCCAGGCAAACTTCATTGTCCGGCACCATTGTGGGCTCCTAGAAAGATAGATAAGTGTCAAAGCAATGCAGAAAATCTAGCACTCGGCCCCAGCAGCGTCCCGGTGTTGTCAGGCAGCAGATAGCGGAACCGCCTGCCTGCCATCCTGTGGCCCCGCCTCCATCTGGTTCTCTTGACCACAGCTGATGATGATGATGGTGATGCATTTGAGGTAGCTCGAAAATTTTGCTTCTCCAGTTTATTACGTTACAGAATTATCTATTTTGCTTTTAAACATTAGCAGCAAAGGAGCAGAAGTAATAAATCTTGTTTGAGGTATTTATAATTATGTCCTAATCCATTTTAAATGTGTTAATTCCTAAATGTTTTTTATTATTATTATTATTCACAGTTTAAATACAATATACAGAGTTTATTTGCAGGTTAATAATTGTTGATTTTATTTATCCTTGTTTTATTATTTTTCTTATTTATTTGTTTTTTGTTCTGAGGTATGACAGGAAGTGACGTGGATCAGTCCGTTTTGTAGGGGCATGGGAAAAGAACAGCAGGCATTTTAAGTTTGGGGCCTATGTTTTTTTGTTTGTTTGTTTGTTTTTACCAGTGCAAGAGAGGTAGAATAAAAGAAAAAGTTTGTATTTATTAATTGTTGGCAAAAATAGAAAATAAACCATCCAGAAGACATTGAAACTTCTTTTGCCTGCATATAAAAAATTGACCCCAGTGCCTTAGTAGTGGCTTAATTGGAATTTTAATTGGATTTTTGGCCTGGCAAACAATTGTCACTATAAATCTTAATAAGTAAGTTAAAAACATTTAATAACGATAACAAAACCATATTTAAAAGATGGAAAAGAAAAAAAAACAGTTTAATAAAGAAACATGAAGAAGGGAAGAAAAAAAAAGACAAGCAAACCCAACTTACACATTTTTCTATTTTTTTAATGTTTTTTAAGGACATTTTTGTTTTAATTGCTTCGGGGTCAAAATGTTGATTTGGGATGTACTGAATGCTGGCTGGTGTTGTTTTGTTAACCCCTTTACTGTTTCCGCTCTAGACCTCTAACAAGACTTTTCTGTTCTCAGCTACCTTGAATAAATTAATTCATAAATAAATAAAACGCAAAACATACATCTTGGTGTAATAACTATCACAGAAGGTATTTTTTCATCAATGAGTCCAGGTCATGTTTTAAGAAGATCCTGGAGCATAACGAGAACAATTAAACTCAATGAACAAAGATTGCCTGAACAAAATAATTTCTTTACAATTGTCAGAACTGAAAAAGTGAACTTTGAATGAGCATATAGTTCTTTAGTATAGATTTAAAAAATCCTACTTTTCAAATCTTGACAGATCTCATTGATTTATTATTTTTGTTACACACTTGAGATGTAAATGAGAAGAAAAGCTGCCAAAAATAATACAAAAAAATAGAATAGATGACTGTCATTGAAATAGTTTAAATGTTTGTTTTTTTAAATCAGATCATGAGCTGGTGTTTTCATCCTAAATCTCATCACAACTCCAGGAACCAAATGTACTTTATTTTTTCTACACAATAGCATTAAGTATGCGAAACTGAAAAGTACATTCAAGCTTAAAGGGAATATTAAAACTCAAAGCATGCAGCCATTTAGGATTTTTAAATGTAATTATTTCATTTATTGTCAAGACTAATAATAAATAAATAAAAAAGCAATAATGTGTTTTATGCTAATTTAAACAAACATATTTAGTAAGCATCATAACATCAGATGTGATGACAGAAAAATTATATGCAATTAAGGTAACAATGAAGTAAGACAAATCTACAATATAGATTTAATAAATACATATGAGATTTATGTTTCCTCATGTCCACAAAGATATGCTTGAAAATGGCACATGAAAAAAAAAAAAAAAAAAAAAAAAACATCTATCAGACCAATGAGCTGCCTTGTCACAGCAGTAATAAGGAAAATCAGAGTAGTGCTGCTGAAATATTTCAGAAGGATGTGCATTTGTGCGATGACATATTCGTTGCTGCGGAGAGAGTGAATCGGTTCTCTGTCATTGTTTTTGTGGAAGCAGATTTATACAAGTTGGGCACACTCCTCCTACGTACAACAATTAGTTTTTCCTGTTTGAACACTTATTTTACATGTTCTTGTTCTCTAATAACAGTAAAGAAATTATGAATGCATAATAAAGATTTGGCAAAAATATCAAAACAAAAAAGCAGGCAATTTTACATATATGCTGTAACATATACTACAAACTACCTAGCAATATGTATATAACTTTAGCTTTTGGGGTTTGTTATTGTAAAGCATTAAACCAATGAATAATCTGTAACTTCTCTTCTATTTAATAACTGTATGGCTGACACACCAACTGACAGATTTTCTCAAATTTCACACAGAAAAAGGTGAAAAAAAATCCAACAATTAATTTGGTCATATCAATTTACTATGTACAAGAAATGCTACATTAATTTTGCATCTGCCTAGGACATTATTTTTTTTAGGAGTTTGTGTGTTTCTGTCTGTCTTCGTACTGGATAACTTGAAAAGTAATGAACAGATTTTAAGCGTCGCAGCACTGAGTATTGACAGCCTTTATGTCTGGATGTATTTCACAGAAGAAAAAAACAAAATAAAAGGAAACGCCTTTAGTCTGCTATCAGGATAAATTTAAAACTTATGAAACCATTTTGAGGAGATTGTTACCAAAGATGCAACTAATGCCCAGGAACAAATCATTAAAACGTGTTAATGATCCAGATCATGTGGGAGTTTTAGCTATAGGTGTAAGTCACAGTTTGGAGCGAATTTTGCTGCTTGGCAGATTTCTGCATTCTCCCGAGTGATTTTCTAGTTGTTTCATGTCTCCGTTTTACTTCCATTTAGGATTAACAAAGGATTTTTTAATAGAAATTTCCCCCCTACAATTTCAGCATTCAAAAATGGTGTTATTTTATAACCAGGACCAACATATCTGAGGTTCAACAAGCCTGCATTCGTAAACTTATTTAATATTCAGTAGAATCGAATGATTGACACGATTATAGTGTTTAGCGATTTATTTGTTGTAATACTTGACTTCTAGATTTCATGGAGTACAAATATGACTTAACACAGTCACATTTAAATAGAAAGGATATTAACATATTTTGTGTGGACTATCAATTAGCCATCTTATCCCCTATTAGTGGGCAATAGTGAGAAGCGAAGCTGTTTAGGAGTAAAATAAACCTGTTCTGAGAAGCTGTGCAAAAGATATCCAAAACAATGATCACACCACATACAGAAATGTACAATTATAGCAACAAAACCACAAGAGAGATAATGTAGTGTGTGTAGTGTCGAGTTAAAGAACTTTCTGCAAGAGGCTGTGTTGACAAAAGGGTGTGTTTAAAGGTTTCTGTTGTTAAGAAATATGCTACCGAAGTACCAACAGAACAATCTTGACATGTTATCAGTCTCACTGTGAAACTGTAAAGACCTCTTATATTTAGGAAAAGAGTCGAAGGACTAGATATGAAATACATTTTAAAAAGGTAAATCATATAAATATTGCCAAAACCAAAGCAAGACTCATGTTTCAGCTGTCATTATATTGGAAGAGGTGCCCTGCCTCTTTAAAGATCCTTATCGCCCCCTAGATGGTGAAGGTAATAATGACATCAAAATCAACTTCAAGATTACAACAGAGGTCATTTAGGATGGCTTTTACTGTAAAAAGACGGCGTTTGTTGTCTAAATATTTTAGCTGCTGTTACATCAACATCATTGTAATCAGAGGTTCCTATTTGACAATTCCTTGTTATTTTTTTAACTTTTTGAACAGGGTTTGCAAATGTGTGCTGGAAGCCGAAGTACATAATGTGCACATCATACTCTGATCCACATCATTCTGGCAGCATTGCATCTAAGCAAAATGTATTACTCAAGACCCTGCTACGGTGGCTCATTAGGTCCAACAAGGTACATGTTTCCTGTTGTTGGGGTTCATCAGGTCTGGTTCCTATTCCACAAGAAATTAATTGCACCAGAGTCCATTAAAAAACAGAGACCACTTCAAGAACTGGACCTTGGTCTGGTTGCTTGGCCCTTGAAAGAATTCACACCTGTACAACCAAGAGTAGAAACAAACTCTGGTCCATTTAAAGCAGACCAAAGTGAACCGCATCACAACCTATTCATAGTTTTTATTTTTGTTACCCAATAAAAGTATTCCTTGCATCTACTGAATTTAGTTGAATGGAAAAAAAAAAATCCTCACCAGCAAACGCTGCCCCAAACAGCAGAAATGACATATATTACATATATACATTACAATAAACAATAACACAATCATAATTTAAAAATAAAAACTTGACTTGTTAAGCATAAATATTACTATTTACATTGTGCATTTTAGGTAATATTTCTACATCTCTTGAGCTTCAAAGTGAAAAATTCTTTTGTCGTATTTTCAGGACTTTAAATCTTCCAGGAGGTGATGCAGAGCTTTTTGGTTTCTACAAAAAACAACAGCTAAACTGTACCTAGAATAAATATTGCATTATTTTGCTGAAGGTTTTTACAGAAATTTTGGCATCTAAAGTTTTTCTCTCATAATTTCACAACTTGTATCCATTTTTAAATGTCTGACAGAAACGTCCAAGTTTTCTTTTACAACAGCAAAAGAAAAACCTTTTATTTGTGTTAGGGCACGTGAAACATTTCTTAGAATGTTGACCAGCCTTTTAGATGTCTCTGTTATTTTGAAAGCCTAACATTTAACTAATCAGATTCTCTCTCCCATTAAGTCTTTATTCTGAGTGGAATGCCTTAAAATCTGTACTTCACCCATACGTAGGGAAAATGTGCTAATACAGTGAAAATACTGCTTCAATCTACACTTACAGGAATATTAACGTTTTGGGCTAAACTAACTAAAGATGGGGCACCACCTTTAGAAAACTTAATTTATTCTAATACAAAGACATATGCCCAGTTAACACTACCCCTCTGAAACCGATCCGTGCGAATTCAGACCGAGCTTGCATCAATTAACCGTGCTGGGCCTGGTTCAGCGTGATGTATAAATGGTACGACAATTTTCACATCCCGCAGCAGCAGCCAGAGTCAGCTGACTGTAAATAGGAGCTGACGCCGTCTGCTCGTTCGCTTTTTTTTAATCAGAGAACCAAGCCACAACTGAAACGTGGCGAACCCTACTGTTGAACTAGTACTAGAGTTAGCCTTCTGAGTTCCATTTAAACACAACAGTTCTTCTTTACCGTTCTTGGCATTTCAAAAAGGGGTAGTGTAAATGGGGCCATAAGCACATACTTCAACTCTTAGTAAACAAAGAGCAAACTAAGATTGAAATAAACTTTTGCTTAAATGTGATTTCTCAAGAAACCTCCTAGTCCACATAGGGAACTTCTACAGCACATCCAAAAAGATTGAAACAATGAAATAAATTTGTTTTAGCTGCAATTAAATATATGTTTCCATTAATACTTATGTTTCTCTCCAAACATCAACATTAAAATGTTTTTTTTTTTTTTTTTTTTTTTCCGGGTTATAGCATAGGCGTTCTTTTGGTAGAAGGCATACAGAAATTTGCATCAACGTTCAGGAGCTAGCGAAGTAAAATCCTAAAAAAACGACAGAAGTATTTCATCATACATCACTTAGTAGCTTAGCATTATTCTGTTGAACTTGTAGATATTAACTACGACAATCATAATGTTTCTATTTTTAAAAGAAACATCTTTATTAAGTGTTTGCGTCAGTTCGTCCTGGCCTCCAAGTTGACATTCCTAGTGGGAAACACTGCACAAAATCTTTAATCATACCAAATCTTCAACTGCAACTTTCTGTTCTGTGTGGGTACTCATATGCTTTTTGACATTAGATCTGAACCGAAATTGTTTACCGCAAACATCACAACCAAAAGGCTTCTCTCCAGTGTGAATCCGCATGTGTTTTCTAAGAGTTGAGCTGTCATTAAACATTGTACCACAGAAATCACAACCAAACGGTTTTTCTCCGGTGTGGATTCTCTTATGAGAACAAAGCCTTTCTTTGCGGTTGAATGCTTTCCCGCACACATCGCAGATAAACGGTTTCTCACCAGTGTGAATTCTTTTGTGCGTATCAAGGTGCCCCTTTTGTTTGAACATTTTACCACAGACATCACATTCAAGGGATTTTTCCAATGTGTGGGTTCCCATGTGTCTATTAAGAACTACCTTCTGGTGGAAGGTTTTCCCGCAGACCAGACAACGGAAAGGTTTATCCACTGCGTGAATCCCCACATGTCTTTTCAAGGTAGACTTACTGATGAATGACTTACTGCATATATCGCATTCGAAAGACTTCTCAACTGCGTGGATTCCCTTGTGTTTATGGAGATTGGATTTATCTGTGAATGTTTTACCACACACGTCACAACCAAATGATTTTTCTCTGGTGTGAACCAACATGTGGCCATTAAGGATGGACTTATAAATAAACGCTTTACCACAAACATCACAGCCAAACGGTTTCTCTCCTGTGTGGATTCTTTTGTGTTTATAAAGATTGGACTTTTGGATGAATGTTTTACCACAAACATCACAACCAAAGGCTTTCTCACCACTGTGAATGCTCATATGTTTGTTAAGAGTTGACTTATCCATGAATGTTTTACTGCAGATATCGCAGCGATAAGATTTCTCTCCTGTGTGGGTTCGCTTGTGTCTATAAAGGTACGATTTTTTGTGGAAAGCTTTACCACAAATGTCGCAACCAAATTCTTTCTCTGAATCTACTGTCTCTGATTCTAAATCCTTCTTTACAATAAAGCCTTTCTCGGTAACCTGGAAACTTAAACTGCTTTTTTCTAAATGGGATTTCATGTGTTTCTGAAAAGCCTCCTGGTAGAGGAACTGCTTACGACAGATAGAACAGCTAGAAAATTTCCTGGCAGTGTTATATCCCACATCATTATTTTCCTCCAGTTCTTGCACTGTCTCCGTCTGCCAGTCATCATAGTTGACATGGAAATCACTACTGCCATTAGAGTGATCCTCATCTTCGTTTTCACACTGGAAAGATTCTGGGTTTTTATGGGTTGCAGTGAAGCTCCATTCATCGGGGACTTCTCTCACCACAAACAGCTTCTTGACATCTGTAGGAAAATATGAAACACATTTACTCCAATGACTGGATCCTTATTTCCACTCTGTGATTTCACATATACATTATTGGATAAACCAATACTAATTAATAATTCAAATACTTTTTAACATTAGTCTTATAAGTGTAACATTTATTTCTTTTCAGTTTATTTTTTTGAAGTCTTCAGCTCAACAATTACAACTGTTCTTTGCAAGAAGGGTCCAACTCTGACTAAAGGAGAGAACCTGTGACTATTTCTAGAGAATACATTTAAATTTAGGTGTTGAATGTTTGTAATCCAAATATGTGAACATGTTTCATCTTGCTCTGTTAGCTAAAGGCATGTTTTAGAGTCTCTATCCCTCAGTAAAGATTACTAAATTAGTCAACAATTATTTCAATAATGGATTAATCATGATGAATCCGATTATTTCAGCCCTAGTTTCATCTCAGCAATTAGCCAAAACATTGTAGCTCTATGTAACGACTCTAATGAACAACGTTGCCCTACGTGTGTTCAGACAGCAGCTTTGCCCTGGCAGCACTGTTTGCTAAATATATTAAAGATAAATGCTGTCTGAAAATGATAAAGCTCCCTTAAGTATTTGTTATTAGGGAAACAAATACTGCTGATTGAGCACGAGAAGACTTCAGTCGGAACATGTCAGCTTAGCAATGTACGTTCATCCCTTCATACTTTGCATTTCTGTTGCTTATTTGTCCGTGTTACATTACATCAACTATATATTAATATCAACTTTGTGTTAAACAGCACTTTGAAATCAAAATGACCTTAACAATTACCAAAGTTAAACATAAGGTCAATTAAAAACAAAAACTTGCTGCACAGTGGGCCGGATCTATCAAAGGTTTGCGTGTATTAAAACGTGAGCTATTTCACTGCGCCTGCTAAAAAATGTACAAACTGATCTATCAACAGCGTGCTAAAAGGATTTGGTCTTTAAAACGTGCTAAATAGCGCCTCTTATCCATTTAGTACTTTTTCTGCAATGAATATGCAATATGGGGCGTTTACACGCAAAAGTGCGTCTTGTGGGAGGAGAACATGTAAATATATTAATTTAGCACTCGCAAAGTGATTTATCAAACCTGAAAGCAATTTTGCTTACGGTATCTGACTCTATATTTAACACGTTTCAAAAGAAGGTGCAAATGGTCTGTATGCGTAATTGCGCACACATGGCAGCGGTTATTGCCGCAAGAAGGAGACATGGAAATGAAGCAAGGAGACGCAGAGAACGCATTTTTTCACTCCGTGTGAATATTTTTGGAATGAACGAGGAAAGGATCATCAAAACATATCGTTTATCCAGCATTGCCATTTTGGAGCTGCAATTCCAGTGATTTGCTCCTCACAGAGCGTCAGCTGTACTTGTTCCTCAATGCTGGTCAGAGGCATCTCATCTACTGTGCCCCCTCCTGCTTTGTTCGCAGATGTTTTGTTATATGCCAGTTTTTCTTTGGTTCGCCTTCTAATATCCTGGTATCTTCTTTTTACTTCATCCACTGTTCGCAAGGTTTCACCAACAGCGTTTACTTTATTACAGATTTGTTCACATATAGCGTTCCTCTGTGTGACAGTCACACTTTTTTGCTGTAGTTCACTTAAATGTTTGTTGGCTTCATCCACCAATACCTCCATTTCCATGGGGTCGAATTTCCTTTTGCGCTTTCTGCTGTCCAAACTCGCCATGCCGCAAACCACCAAACACGCAAAACCATCATTTAAATAGGGCGTCTCCAACAGTTTTGCACCTGCCACCAGTTACGCAATCGCTCTTGTTAAATCACCCGCAAACCATGGTTCAGCCCCTCGCGCAAAATTCCAGTTTGCGAGCGCAAATTACTGCACGCAAAATTGGATCTTGATAAATCCGGCCCAGAGTATCCTGATTAGTTTTAGCTAATGGAGCAAAAAAAATAAAAAATGCTATCATCTACTATATGTCCATCGGTATGGTTTGGCTGCAATAGATGCAAAAAAAAAAATCATAAGTAAAAATGCACACTTAATGGATCCTAAAAGGTTGTGGCAGTTTGACATGAAAACTGTGATATAAAAACAAACAAAAAATGTTGCTTAATAATCATTGCACACATGTGACTACATGTGTGAAGAAACATGAACCAAAAACAGGATTTTTCTTCACCAGTTCAGAGTCAAAGCAGTGGCAAGTAAGGCTTGGGATAAAATGCAGGATATTTTCAATAGTTGCTCCAACTTAGAATGTGATTTATGTTCTCGCTCTGTATAAACCGACACCTTGATGCGATCTGACTACTCAGACTGTACGTCCTCAAAGGCTACATTCACACTGCAGGCCTTGATGCTCAATTCCGATTTTTTTGCGAAATCCGATTTTTTTATGCGTTGCCATTCATATTTCCAACTATATGCGACTTGTATGTGATCTCCTGTGTGAACTGTAGTCATACAACACAAGTGTCCCGCATGCGCATTAGAGGACGCAATGACGTCACAGGCCAGCGTGCTATTTTTTCCAGAAGTAAGCATGGATGGTAGCGCCGGCGCGCATCTATCGGCCTTTTCCAACCATAAAAACAAAATCTTTTCAATATGTTTAAACATAAATACTGCTCTCCGCATCATCATCTGCCATGGTTGTTGTTTTTCTTCTCGCTTCTGCGTAGCAAGACGCATAATAGTGACGTTTGTTGGGTATTAATGACGTTCAGGTCAGATGAATCTGACCTGGCCGTACAGACACAGGTCCATTTGGAAAGATCAGATTTGTATTGGATTCAGGACCACATAAACAAGTGGTCTGGGTCGGATTGGAAAAAATCGGATCTGTGTTGTTCAGACTGCCATGAAAAGATCAGATCCAGGTCGCATATGGGCAAAAAAAATTGGATTTGGGTCACTTCAGGCTGCAGTGTGAACGTAGTCAAAGACAGGTTGGAGTCTCTTTGGTCTTGGCCATGTTAGTAGTTTGATGTTTACTGATTGCATGGGGTGGAAATGTGTCTTTATGCAGCTAACCACCTCAAACAGATGCATCTAATATAGGATGATTAATGGAGTGGAGGTTTTTAAGGCAGTCTAGCAGGTCTTTGAGGGTCAGAATATTAGCTGATAGACATGGGTTCAAATATTTGCAGCAATATCATACAAATAAATAGTTAAAAAAAATCATATATTGTGTTTTGGTTTTTTTTCTTTCATTAAATCTCTTTCAGTTTACATGCAATTACGATGACAATTTCAGACCTCTCCATGTTTTCTAAGTGGAAGAACTTGCAAAATTGCAGGGTGTTTAAATACTTATTTTCCCTCACTGTAACTATAAATATTCATGAGTAACGTGAAAATCACAGAGGAAAGAGTTTTCAGTCTGGTCGTGTCACATCTTCAACATGCAATTCACTTATCAGCCACGACTAAAATATCAGATTTGATTTTCTTGCAACACCCAATTTCTGATTGGGAGCTTGTCATGAGGTGCTAATCGCCTCAGGTGACCCCCTTGTATACTAAATGATGCACAATTTGCCAGTGATCGACTAACTTGTCTCAAGACTGGAAAATCGTCTCAAAAGCGGTCAAAAAATGTATGTGTGTGCACAGTGCATGTCGAAAAACAACAAAGTTAAAGGGACACTATGCAACATTTTTCAGTTAATTATTGTGTTCCATAACGTTTTGGATGATTAAATGAGTCATTTCAGGAACAAAGGTTTTCTCGGCCGCCCTGGTGGTCTGTGGGGGAAATACCGCACTTGCAATTGCAGGAGCACCAACCCGCACCCACAGGCTCAGAAGTCTTGCGAGTCGGTCTTGCTTTACGGCGAGAACTGCTACACGCCCCCAGTTAAAAGCCTGCTCGTTGCTAGCACAGTGGCGATCTTTGTGCAGTTATGCTTTCACACCGGACGCAGCTGCTTCATTTTTACTGCTTGTACCAGTTAGTTCTGACACACGGCTGAAGCAGCTTTGCTGCTCTGGCTGCGCGGTGCAAAAGTGTGTCTGACGCGCGTTGGGCGGAGCTTCACTATCCTTTCTCTGTCTTGCAGCTATATTTGCTGTGATCAGTGGGAATAAAGTAGTTTTAATATGTTTTTAAGTGAGAAAATACACCTGAAAACGTAATCAGTGCAGTCAGTTCATTCAGATTATCATCCTGCCGTTCAGACCCCCGCATACCAGCGGTGCGCCGACAGTAGTAATCCCTTCATCAGCAGCCTCTGGCCGGGTCGCCCCCTCGCGGTTCACTGCGGCAGCTGGTAGGTGTTTTTCATCTAAATAATCCAAACTGCAGGCAGCAGGATAATAAAAGCGAACATATTCTGCCAGCAGATTTCTGCATTTTAAGTTAATTTAGGCATCAATAAACTGTTTAAGAGGAGGTATCATAGCGCTCTGATCATCAGCGCTGTGTCTCTCTCCCTGCCAGCTCCCAGATCAGCTTCTCTGATTGGTTGACGCGGCGCGTCGAGCAGCAAAAATTCTATTTTTCCCATCTCGAGCAGCAGCGCGTTTTTGTGGCGCGTCACGCGCGTCAGATGCTTAGTCATTCGTTGCGTTCGCCTGTCTGCTAAGCTCAAAACAACCGCGCCTGGCTTGACGGAGAAACCAGGAGAACAGCTGTGCATATTTACGACAGTGAACTTTTACTTTTGCCCTCTGGGGGGAGCCTCGCTGGAAAATCAACACCGGTTGCATAGTGTACCTTTAATATTCATCAAACACATATTCTCATCCTAGTATATGTTCTGAGAACCAATGTTGACTCCTTTTGATATCCACTAAAGTTATTTTCAACCCTTTTTATGGCCTGAACCTGACAGTAACCTTAACCTACACCTAACCGGTGCATACCTAACGCTAACTTTAACTCAAATTGAATCCATACTTTAGTCCTAAACCTAACCATTAGCAAAAAAGAAAGCTAGCACCAGCAGAACAATCTTACTTTAGTACAAACAGTCCTCCTTTTGGATGTGAAATCAGAGAATTGCCCTCACTCTGATGCCGAACCAGGACCACACACACAAATATAAGGCTGCAGTGGACAAAGTAAAGAGCTCACATACCATCAGTCAATGGACTGGCTTCTTCTTCCTCCTCTTCCTGTTTTACCTGAAGTTCAGGTCCCTCCTGTGTAGTTCTGAGGCCTGATTCATCAGGAGCCTGTTCTTTGACCACCAACAGCTGCAGGACATCTGCGGGGAGCATCAAGAAACTCACCTGTAAGGTCGTTAGCTGGATTTTTGTTGAATTTATCTGAGTTCATGGAGTTTCTTTGCTATTGCTATTTGAAGATAAACATTTCATACCATAAATGCAGTACACAATATAGTAAGGTTGTATTTGAAAGAACGCAGAAAAAAACGTTCAAAAGTAGTATTGACAGTCTGCAGGTGTTGACCTTTTGCAGGTGCAGAGGATCGCACAGGCCATTCAATTTAGCTTTAGATGTTATTAATGAATCGATTTAACTTAGTTTAATTGAACCTATACTGATCTTACATTCGAGAAACTTATCTCTACATTTAACCCATTCCCTTGGGGAGGAGTGGGCTGCCATCGTGGGGAGCCAGGGGAGCTGTGTTGGGTTAAGGGTCTTGCTCAGCGACCCAGAGTGGCAGTCTGTGGGATTGGGGCTCGAACTCAGAACCTCAGGATTTCCCAGCTCTAGGCCCTAACCACTAGGCCGCCACTCTCCATTATCATAAGTATTTTAAGTTTTAACATGTTCAAAGAAAGATGTTAAGGGAGGCCGAGGGTCAATTCCACCCCTTGTATCAGCAATGATTGAAAAATTAAGTCTGTGTAGCTCTGATAAAAATAAAATCAGACAACTAAAATGCTTATTTACAACACTTCATTCATTTTCTGCATTAAACTAATTTGACCAAGGGATTCCATTACATTGAGCATATATTGTCGGCTTGACTTCTTATTCAATGATAAAACCAAATGGAGTGCTGCATTTACCTGAACTATTACCATTTCACTAACTTTGTCATTTTATTGGGCCTCTTGGTATTCTTGCTCGTCTGTTTTGAAGTGTTGCTAAATCCATTTAGTGTTGGTAAAACAAAAGTAAAATCAAGATTCTTTATTTTCTGCATTTCAAGCTCAATAAACATCTAAGTACAACCTCCAGACTAGAGTTTAGTCATTTCCAAATGGTTATTCTGTGGTACGGCTGCTGTAACATGACAGACAAATATCCCCTGTAGGGGACAGAGGGAGGCACTACCTTCTGTCTAAGACGTGTCTCAAACCTGCTGGAGCAACGGGGCTTTGAATAATCTCAAACTCCTCACACCCTTACAACGAACTTTCTATATTGCAGCCATCAGGTAAATAATATAGCAATACCAAAATCAGAACCACCACAGAGGTACAGAACCTTCAGCTAAATGCTGATGCAATTTTCTGTTTTATCTATTTTTGTTTTTAAACCATTGATGTATTAGCTGCTAAATCTAATGCTCCGCACTGATCTTAAAATTAGAAACCAAAAATTGTTTTGTTGCTTTCAATGCAAAAGAATAAAAAGGAACTGATTATGTGTGTAGTCTGATGGATTTCAGTTAACTTACAACTGGCTAAACTCTATTCTTCCTTTATTCTTGCTTAACTTTTTATTTATTCCAACTATTAATATGATAAAGAAAATATTACACATAAACAGCTGCTACTGGGCTATCCTAAAAGAAAAGGAAAATCTGTCTTTGGACCACTGAACCACACAATCCTATAAAAGTTCTGAGGGACAATGAAGCAGCTCTAGGCGGTGTGGACACCTTTACCCTAGTCCATCCTGATTGTTTTAAATGTATGAATTTAGTATTTTCATGTTTGTTTATATGCATCTACCCACATATAGTTAGATCACTAAATAATTTGATAGAGAATAATAATGGAGTTTGATTATTGGAAAACTGTTTTCTTTAAAACCTGGTATTTAGTGCAAACTACCTGTGTCTTTTTCCTGAGTGTGTTCTGTTTTTCTACTACGGTAGTTTCATTTTTAGAAAGTTTAGGCCCACCCTCAGTTGTTGAACCCCTCTTTATTCTCGGTTCATTTCCAAACTTAAGAACTTGACACAAATTTTCTGTTACGCCTTTATATCATTCCCACTGTGGGTATAGTGGGGAGGTTTGAGTAACTCCCTTTGTCTACACAGACTTAAGGTCTTAAGTGTGCAGATAATATCCGTCTGTAACATTAAAGATGTCTTATTGTTTAGGGGAGTAGGGACAATTATAATAATGGGATGGTGATAAATGAATCCCCCAATCTTCACCACTTTGTTCTGGTCATGTTTTAACATAAAAACTAACTGTGCGGAAACGATGGTGAGTCTTTTATTAAGAAATAAAACAACAGATCTATCATATTTAGAACTATATAACCAGTAGACATATTACCAGTGGCCAATGGGCTGTTAGAGAGTTCCTCTTTTATGTTGTTTTCTGGGTCCTGATAGTCAAGAGCACAGGACCATTCATCTGGAGCTTCTGTTTTCACCACCAACAGCTGATCCACGTCTGCAGGAAAGATTTTAAGGACATACATAGGCTTATTGCACAACAGATCTAATGATCCAACAAGTTACAAGTCAGGATAAGTCAGAAACAACCTATACAGGTTCTTAATGCAGTTAAATTCACTAGAAAAACTACAAGAAAATTTAAAGTTGGAATAATGAGGGAAACTAAGGGTTAGGAAAGGAAATATAAAGATGCTGTCTTAAAGAGATGGCGACTGGATATTGAAAATCAACATATTTGATAACATGAACAAATCTATGCAGAAGTAAAAGAACGGCTAAAATAAAGGGGCTGTTTTCGAGAGAAAAGACAAAGTATCCATATACATATATGTTTCTTAAACCCCTGATAAAGATGTGGTTAAAGCATAAAGATATTTATTCTACTGATATTATAATGAACATTCTAGAAAATATTGATTATTTTCATCCATTATTATTACATTTATTTTGTTCTGTGAGCAAGAAAAGTTTAGTTTAAGAATATTTTTTTGTTTGTTTTTTTAAAGAAAATCATAGGTGGCACAATCAGTCGTACTGAAAACAGCCCATTTAAAACCAACATAATGAACAGTTTTAAAATATATATTTAAGATTTAACACTACTGACATACAACCCATATTTCCCTTAATACCCCTCACAGTGATGGGATGTTAAAGGTAATAACAAATCTGTATTAGGTGAACTGCAGAAAACAGAGGACTCCCGGGGTTAAAGGTCACAGTAACAGACATTAGACGCCATCTTTGTGCTGACACAAACTTACAAACATCATATATTGCATTAGCATAACAAAACCCAAATAGGAGTATGGTGTTTAAATGAGAAGCATGTGAACAGATTACCAGTAGCGAGACTGGTTGGAAATTCCTCTTCCTCCTCCTTTATGGAAAGTTCTTGGTCCTGGTGGTTCATTATGGAGCTTCTTTAATCAAGGGCCTCTGGTTTCATTACATAAACCCCAATAATTTCTGCAAGAAAATGGAGATTAATGATTTTTTTTCTAGTTGCTAACATTTATTTTAATATACCTCAACAGTAATATAAAGGGCACTTTCACCTATTTTTTTCTACTATCTATTAAAAACAAACACAATACCAGAACTCTCGAAATCTAGACTCAGTTATTCTACACACTGATATCTAAACCTTTAAATAGGTTTAGCTGTCAGTGTGTAGGCTTTGATAAATGTAAAACCTTTATTTGATCTATAAAAGTTCAATAAAGCACCTGATGGTACTTTTTGCATCCAGACTAAATTTGCTCCAGCTTAAAATTACAATATTTAGATTACTCAAACTTGGACTAAATTCTTCTATACAAAAATAAGATCCACTCAAACCCAATTTGTGATCTGGGAAACCTTTATTTAACATCACTTATATTTCACACAAAAGATTTCTTGTCTTAGTATCCTCGAAATTTAAGACTATTTACTCAGGCTCATAAAAATATAAAAAATAAGCTGATTAAGTAATTCACAAAATAATTTTTAGTCAAGACAATTTTATCAAGTAAAGACAGGACCTTTTTTAAACTGAGCTAGTCTTTATCAGACTACCACTAGCTTCTGAAAGGGGACCCATTTTGAAATATAACAGCCAGCGCTATGTTTTGTATATGGGAGCTTTTCCCGGATCAGAGGTCATCTGACTCTTTGTATTTAGATGCAAACTGGTAGCACGTCAGGGAAAGAGTCTTAAAGGTAATTTTTAAATTATTTTATCTTTATATTAAATATTACTGCAAGTTTTATTTTCTAATATTGGTAGTAAAATGTTTTTACTCTATGATACTGCTAAAAGAATAATTAGATTGTATTATTCTGCATATGCTCACTCATATTTTGAAAGCCCTGCTCTAGCATCCCTCCCTTTAAAAAACACTGGTATAAAAAAAACATATCTGATCAGGGTTTTTCCAATTCTACTGCACTGATACCTGGTAGCTCATAAATATCCCTTTGAAAATGTTTAACTATTCTTGAGCTATTAGTGTCGTTAGCATTACTGTAGTGTGTTGTAGCCTGTGAATCTTTGTTAAACATTTACAGAATAAATGAAGGTTTCACAAATCAAAATCTGAAAAATGAAGAATGGAAAAGTCCAAACCAATCCAATCAAGTTTAATTATTGTAACCAGAAAACACTACAGATGCTTAGGATAGTTAAAAATGAGGGTGAATAATTCACAAAGTCTCCACTACAACAGACCGTAGTGGAGATGCTACGCAGTGAGCATACCAGTGTATAACATAATGAGCAGCAATAGTGAAGCTTTATTTTGTTTGGTTTTTTTCATGAACATTGGCTTTTTTAAGTGTCAGGGTATGTTAGAGAGACATGAAGCAGAAACGGCTGCTATTAGAACAGAGCCATATGAGGTGGATAAATTCAGTGCAATGTCTGCAGAGATGAATTCGCTACCAGGAGTCACCTGTAACAGACATAATGACTTATTGAATTCATTAAAATTAACCAAACTATGGAGAAACGGAGGTTCATAAAGCATTTGTAGAGATTTAGCTTAAACAGTATCTGCGCGGGTAAAAATAGAATCCCATCTCAGCCGGGGTAAGTAAATAGGGATGATTTTCTATCCATGCAACATATTTAATTGCTTATTGTAGTCTCATGATATTATATGGTCAAACTTTACAGTCTCAAATTTGTAATTAATATTATTTAAAATTCTATTAGTTTTCTACTAAATCACAAATGTGTGCAGTAAAATGTAATAGCCAGGAGGTTCTGTTCTAACTTCTAGAATTGATATGGACATAGATTCAAATAGGAATTAAGTTAAAAAAAAATAATAATAATAATAACAATAAAAAAACTGAACATAAATGTTTCCAGGCTTTTCTGTAAGGTAAGGCTGAATTTCAGGAGATTTATCTTCTAGACCTTTTGCAAGTTGGAAAGGTGCCTGTTTGTGTAGCAAATGTGTCAATGGATTATCAATCATCAGGGCAAAAAGCACGGCTTCTGCAATAATGCATTATATGACAGTGTAGCAGGAACTGAGGAGCAATGCAGAAATCCGGAATTAGTCAACAACAGAGTGTGCACCGATAAGTCTGTGCCTAATCAATAGCTTCTACATGTTCATGCAGCATGACTTTTCAAGCTGTAACAAATTATTCTGAGGTAGGACCTGGAGGTGTTGAAACTGGAGCAGGAAGTGGTGTTGCAAGGATTTCTGGTCCATGCACATTATGAAGGTCCAGCAAGGCTCTGGATGTGTTGAACTCTGTGCTTTTACCCTTACATATCTGCTGCAACAAGAAAGAAAGGCGCATTGCATTAATATGAAAGAAACAGGGACAATTCAGACATTAAAGCACAACAATAATACATAGATAACATTTCTGTAATGATTGCACTGCACCATCATGAATGAGCGCTCAGCATTTTTTAGATCAAAATACAATATAGTTTAATAATTCAGAACTAATAATTACTTTATTAAAACACTTTTAAATATAGGTCAATTTATATGATGAAATGAATAAAGTGGAAATCACTTTACGGTTTTCTTATACTATCATAATGGCGGCAGAGTACCAGGATATAGGATGAGGGATGTAGGGCCGTTTCCCAAATCAGAAGCAGAGTTTACGTTGGTCTGCAGCAAATATATCTTTTAATCTAGCATTCCTACATACACCTACATCCTCTAATGACATAGTTTAGCATTTTACGACCAATAGATCAGGTCCAATAAAGCGTTTTAACGGTGTTGTATTCTGCTCCTTCATTTCACCAGACTCAATCGTGTCGAACATTTTTGGTGCTACCAGTAGATAAAAACCATTGCTGATAAAAGCGAGAGCACTCACCTTTATTATCCGACTGATAGTGTCTTTGTTGTGTCCTGTTGCTTTTTTTTTCCTGGAATGTCTCTTGTTGTTTCCTCTGCACTAGTTTTATGCAAACAAGCTCCCCTCCAACAATTTCTGCTGTTTATAACTAATCTTCAATAAGCTATAAATGTCCATACACGTTATTAACTGTTATTTCTAAGCGTTATTAGACCTAGTGAACGGGCGCCGCCATGAAAAAAAATATCGCGTGCAATATCTCGCGATAATTACGGTCCATGATAGAGGATCGCCGCCATATTGCGAGTGGCAGATTCTTCTTCTTCTTCTATTGAGTTTTCTGGCAGTTTGCATCGTGTGTGCATTACCGCCATCAACTGGACGGAGATGTAATTCAGAAATATAATGTCTGTATATCTTTATATCTTCATGAAACTAAATTCTATCTATACTTACACACACGCACATACACACACTAAATTCTCCCAGCTAATTCTGTATCTTTTAAATATTTAATAAGTGCTTTAATTATCTTATCTGATTGATGCTTCCCTAATAAATCTGCCATCTTTACTGAACTCCCCCTTACCCTTTCCAGTTCTTTCCTCTCTTTTGTATATTTGCTACAATAGATCAACACATGTTCTACTCCTTCGATTTCTCCGCAATAACAACAATTACCCGTTGGATGTTTCCCTATTATTTTTAGACCTGCATTTAAACTAGTATGCCCAATCCTTAACCTGTTTATCCATATTTCCTCTCTTCTACTCATTATACTGTTATATCCTATGCTAATATCTTTATGTATTTTATATAAATGTCTTCCTTTTTTTCTAAATTCCATCTCTTCTGCCATACCTTATTTATTTTATCTTTAATAATTACTTTTATTTCTGTTCTACTTAGCGGGACATCATATTCAATTTCTCCTACTTTAACTGCTTCTTTAGCTAACTTATCTACTTTTTCATTACCTAAGATTCCTTTGTGTGCTGGAACCCATGTGAATTGAATACTTATATTTTGTTGCCTTATACCATACATTAAATAACTGACTTCATCTAAAAGATCTTGACGGCTTTCAGATTTTCCACTTTTAAAACTAGTCAGGCAAGACATTGAATCTGAACAGATAACTACATTTCTAGGCTTCACCTCCAGCACCCATTGCAATGCTAAAATAATTGCCAACATCTCTGCTGAAAAAATTGATAAATTATCTGTTGTTCTTCTCTTGATAGAAATATTTTCTTTTGGAATATATACTGCTACTCCTGTTTTACCATTTTCCTCTTTTGATGCATCTGTATATATTTGTGTCATATTTTCATACCTTACTTCTAAATGCTGCTGAATAATTTGATACAAACCTCCACAAGACTCTTCTATTTTTTTAGTTTCTAAATTTACTATTGGCATTTCGAAAAACCATGGAGCAATTTTAGATGTACTTACAGTTTTACAGTATGTTATATTACTTATCCCAGAATACTCTGCATAAATATTTCCTTCCCATCCAAAACTCCTTATATTATGGCCATATTCCCAACATTCTCTGAATATCTGTTTAGTAGGGTGATTTTCCTCATGCCCTTGTAAATTTAACCAGTAATTTATTGACAGTTTCATCCTCCTTAAGTCCAGTGGCATTTCTCCAGTAATCACTTGAAGAGCAGTAACTGGAGATGTTCGAAAAGCACCACTACATATCCTAAGCGCTTTGGCTTGGATTCTATCTAAATCTAACAACAAAGAATTTGCAGCTGATTTATAAACAATACATCCATAGTCCAACACAGATCGAATTAAAACATCATATATTCTTTTCAAGGATGAGCTAGTTGCCCCCCAGTCATTCCCTGACAAACATTTCAATATATTAATACCTTTTTTACATTTATCAATAATCTTCTGCATATGTATCTTAAATGAAAGTTTTTCATCAAACCATACACCAAGGTACCTTATCATATTTACCTGTTTCAATTCATGCCCATATAATCTAAGATCTACTGTTGAATTATCCCTTTTCCTTGAAAAACATAATACTTGTGTCTTCTCAACAGACAAACGAAACCCCCATTCGTGTGACCATCTTTCTACCGTTTTAATTGCTGATTGCATTCTATTTTTTAAATAACTAAGATTTCCTCCTCTCACCCATAATGCCCCATCATCTGCATATAATGCTTTATTAATTCTAAAATCTATATTATCAAAAATATCATTAATCATTATATTAAAAAGCACTGGACTACATACACTACCTTGTGGAGTTCCATTTTGTATATCATAAATGTTTGAATAATTTACCCCAACTCTTACTTCTATTTTTCTATTCTTTAAAAAATCCTTAATCCAATTAAACATTTTTCCTTTGATTCCCATTTTATTCATCTTAATTAATAAACCCTCCTTCCAAAGCATATCATATGCTTTTTCAATATCAAAAAATGTAGCCAAGAGAATTTCTTTATTTACCTGAGCCTTTCTTATTTCATTTTCTAAACAAGCAATTGGATCTACTGTTGTCCGTCCACTTCTAAAACCACTCTGATAAGGGGATAAAAGATCTCTTTTTTCTATTTCATACATTAATCTCCTAGTTATCATTCTCTCCATCAATTTACATAAATTAGAAGTAAGAGCTATAGGCCTATAACTTTTAACCTCTCCTTTATCCTTACCTGGCTTTAATATTGGTACAATGATTGAATGCTTCCAGCTTAAGGGCAATTCACCTTGTTTCCATACTTTATTGTATAACTTTAAAATTATTCCTTTAGCATCATCTGATAAATGTTCAATCATCCTATAACATATGCCATCTTTACCTGGAGATGTATTTTTAACTCCTATCAATGCTCTATTCATTTCAAACAATGTAAATTCTTTATCTAAAATACTTCCATCAATCTCTTTTCTATTTAAAATTTCTCTATTATCTTCAATCATTTCCAATCTCCATGATAATTCTTCATTTGATAAATTTTTTGAACTATGCACCTTCACAAAGGACCTTGCAAACATCTCTGCTTTTTCCTTGTTTGTTATAGCTTCACACTGATCATCTTTAATTATAGGTAAAGAAAAATCCCTTCTAATTCCTCCCATCTTTCTAATCATTCCCCAGATCTCATTTATTTTAACGTCCATTCCAATTGTACTACAAAAACTTCTCCAATAATTCTTTTTTGATAGTTTAACTGTTCTCCTAACTTTAGATTGTGCTTTTTTGTATAATATTAAATTATCAAATGAATGATTTATTTTTAACTTTTTAAATGCTTTATTCCTAACTTTAATAGCTTCTTTACATTCATTGTTCCACCAAGGAACCATTTTCTTTTTCTTCAATCCAGTAGATTTGCAAATGGCCTTTTCTGCAGATTCGTATATTATATTTGTAATCATTGAATTTAATTCTTCAATATTATTGCTTAAATTTGGCATAATCTCCATAAACATGTCACTTGCTATCTTTTTGTACATTTCCCAATTAGCTTCCCTCATTCTCCATTTAGGATACCAATTTTCTTCAACTGCTACTTTAAAATTATTCAATTTAAGCAGAATAGGATAATGATCACTTCCAAGGGAGTTATCATTCATTACTTCCCATTGACTTATTCCTGCTATCTGATCTGAGACTATAGTAAGATCAATTGCAGATTCTACTCCATGCCCTACATCAAATCTAGTACCTCTTCCATCATTTAGACAAGTTAAGTTATAATCATCCATAAATTCCTCAATTATGTTTCCATTTTCATCATTCCTTTTACTTCCCCATAAGGTATTATGAGCATTAAAATCTCCACATAAAATATTTTTAACATTTTCCTTCACATAAATACTATCCAGTATTTCTCTACTTATTTTTTTACATGGATTATAATAATTTATTATATTAAATTTTGATTTACTAATCCATACCTCAATCCCTATTACTTCTATTTCTTCATTTATATTTAAAACTTTATAATTAATTCCCTGCTGAACAAATATGGCAACACCTCCTCCTACATTTGGGTTTCTATCTTTACGTAGTTCAATATATCCACTAAGAATAAAATCAAGTGATGGTTTTAACCAGGTTTCTTGAATACATACTATATTTGGTTTAACATTCTGTCTTTCAATAAAATATTTAAATTCTTGGCCATTAGCAATTAAGCTTCTTGCATTCCACTGTAATATGGATAAGACCATCAATTGTCACCACTCCTGGACTGTTGACTTTCATTAATCCCTGTTAAAACTGCACTGATTGACTCAAAAGACAGGTCTTCCATCTCAAGGTATTTTTCTGCTGCTTTGATTATTATTTTAATTCGCTCTGTTCTACTATCTGTCTGAGCTGAACAATTTATTACTTCCACAATAAATGCAACAAATTTATTTTTATCCACAATCATTGTATTTCCTGAGGTATTCAGGCTCTGGGTTTGCTCTGTTTTTTGAGGTGGAGTGTGAGGCACAGAAATACTTTTAGCATTAACATTTGAGTTACTTACCTTTTTAACTGCATCTGCATAGGTAACTTTTTCTTTGACACGTATATTTTGTACCTGTACTGCTCTTTTATGAGCTTCACATCCTTTAAATGCAGCACTGTGTTCCCCACCACAGTTACAGCACCTTAACTTAGTTCCTTCAGAACATTTCCCATATTCATGCTCCCCTCCACACTTGGAACACCTGGCCTTAGCTCTGCAAGCAGCAGCAATATGTCCGAACCTCTGACATTTGTAACACCTGGTTGGTGGAGGAATGTATTGCCTAACTGTATAGCTGACAAACCCAATCATCATTTTTTCAGGTAATCTATCTTCTTCTAGTACTAACATAACTGATTTACTAGGACTTTTAATTCCTTCTCTTGTAGCAAACAGACGTTTCACTTTAATCACTCGAGCTCCTTTTATATTACCTTTAATCTCTTCCTCCGTCAAATCAGTTGATACTCCATATATTACTCCCATTACTTTTCCTCTTTCCTGCCATATTTGCGGCTTGATTGTTTTTCCCAACAACGTCTTGCTTCTCATTAGTCCCTGCACCTGATCTCTATCTCTGCATAATACCAATAGATTGCCATCTCTTAGCGTTTTGACTGTATTCACTTCACCTACTATTTTATATATTGCCTCACTTATCTTTAACGGATTCAATGCACATGGGTTCTGGAATCTAAGAATCACTTTCATTTCATTTCTTGTATTTTCCTCTCTTTTTTCTTCATCAGATTCAAAGCCTTTCCTTT